ACTCTCTAACCAGGAATGTTGGGGAGAAGATCACCATCTTAATCTATTTTTAGAAGCTTAAGATATCAAGAGAGAGTAGAATGTGCGACGGGTCAAAGACGATGCACAGGTGGTTGGTCGTAGGGTTTCCATCAAGAAATACCCTTCATACCAACACAAACAATAGCAGAAAAAAGTCTTAAATCTATTATACTTGTACCGATTCAGTACTAAACTTTTCAATTGTGCTAATTCAGTACTAAAAAATTTTTCAATTATGCCAATTGAGTTCTAAACCTTTTCATGTTTTGCCAGTTCAGTCAATCCGGCCATTTTTGCCTGAAATCGCTGACATAGACACTGACCGGCGCTGATGTGGACATATTTTAATATTTTTTTTTCCTTTTCTTTTTCTTTACTTTTTTTCTTTTTTTTCTTGGACTTGAAGCCGACAATGGTCGAGATGCCCCTGCCGGCACTAGGCAAGGGCGTCACAGCCCCTCTCCTAGATTTGTTGAGGGCTGCGATGCCCTCGCCAAATCTGACCAAGCGAGGGCTACATGACCCTTTCTGGCCCAGGGCGAGGATGTCCCGGCCCTCGTCGGCCCTAAGTCCAAGGAAAAAAAAAGAAAAAGTAAAGAAAAGGAAAAAAATTAAAAAATATTATTAAAAATATACACGTCAGCGCCGGCCGTGTACGCTAGTCATGTCACGTAGAACGGCTAGCATCTACGTTAACGATTTCCGGCCAAAATTTATCGGATGGACTCAATTGGCACAATTAAAAGGTTTAGGACTGAATTGATAAAAGTACAATAGGTTTATGACTTTTTGGACAATTTTTCCGATCTTATATATTCAGAACTTTAGTTCCATAGACTATAGGAAGGGAAGACTTTGATCTTAGAATAAGTTAGAGAGAAGATAGCTTGAAACTAGGGGCATTATTAGACTAAGTTATGTAAGTTGACAGAGACCTGGACTTATATTATCTTGCAGAGTTATTTTACATCTCAACGTCGCTCCTCTGTCGTTTTCCTCTTCATATGATCAGCAAGTCTTTAAAAAAAAAAAAACCCGCTGTCGTTCTACTTCTGTATGATTTTTTTGTACTGTTGATCATAATCAGTGAATGTACTGTGACCAGTTTCTTTTAGCCCTAGTCAATGACGACTCGAGCTCCTACAGGTCGGAGCAGAAGCAGCTTCAAATGTCAACTACCATACTCCCCACCAACCATCATTATCAAATTGATAACGGCAAAGACGTGTTCCATAAATATTCGTCAGACAAGACAACTTCCATTGTTGAATTGACCTGAAGCCTTCCGTCTATGCCGTCTCAAGATACGAACATTGTAGTTTGATACTGTCGCGTGCACCAGCAAGTAGTCTTGCAGTGGATACGTATATAAGAATCCTCATGTGATGAATAGTATTTATACACAAGGAGCACATCATATCGAATTATATCATATCATATCATGATATAGTAAATGCCAAACGGATAGCAACTCGAGAATTGTTTATAGGACTTGTAACTCACGTTTAACATGAGTAAGGCCTTGGTTTCATTTATCTTTAGGTAGACCAAATACTCATACAAGAACAAAAGAGCAGTAAGTGAAATGCTCACAAGTTTTATTTTTTATGCTAAAAGAGTAAGATCCATCCCAATTAATAGGGGTAACCAAAATTTCCCGTCTTTAATTATTTGCAGTCTCGCAGATGCATACAAAAAATAATATCGGATAAAATAGCATATTTGAGTCATTTTCCATTGGTAATTGCCACGAGACTAATCGAGACACCTATCTATTTCGGATGGATACTTGCTCCTAAATTAGCTTATAAGTTCTAAACACCATTAGCTAAACAAAAACTGCACAGCTCCTAGAATATGCAAGGTGATAAATTTTAGATGATAAGTAGGTGTTGGTCTAAAGGCATATTGGTCTGTGAGGAGCATTGAATGGCATAATATTTAGTTTGTACCTAATCTCCTCTCTCTCATTTTAATCCTGTGGGCTGGGCTTCTTTCAATGGGTTTAATTAGGCTAGGCTCTCAAAATGCCTTGAAGCCCAACTAAGCATTTTTCGCATGCTTCTTTTAAGCCCTTTGTCGCTGTGCGTGTGGGATGCCATAACCATTCTTTAGCCATTGTTGTTGCACGCATAAGCAAAAGTGCATCAGTCAATGTTAGAGCATGTTGCTGACCGAAAAGAGGGGAAGTTTTTGCTTAAAACATGTGAAATTTACAATCTATGAATCAAATTTTTGCTATGCTTAAAACATGTGAAACTTACTATTTGTGAATCAAATCTTTGCTAAGTCAGATTAAGGGCCTGTAGGTTCTTATCGGAATGACTTTGTACCACTTCACACGTACATCAATATTCGAGCTCTTAACAATTCGGAAACCTAAATTCGAACTCTATCAATTTGGCAACGAAAAATGTGTTTGTAAGATGGATAGATTAGCTGACTGATGAACGAATAGTTGTTCATAGGTGGATTTTATGCGCAACGCTACAATCACAAATACAATCTATCTCATGTCGTTTATGGTCAAAGGCAGAGTTTAGGAGAGCTTCGTGGAAATGCAAAGTTATTTTCTCAATGATCTTTGACTGGAAGTGTATTTACTCAAAGTAAATACCGTTTGGCGAATTGACTTTCGGTGAATTTTTTGCAAAGCAACTCTGAAGTGAAAAAACATTTTTTGGGAAAAAATAGAGGGCATGGCTTTTGAAGTCTGCGAGCCTTGTATGAGGCAGCGGTGAGCATTGACAAGCACCGGTGAGCCTTGCGCGAGCGTCCAACAGGCAAGCCTCAAGTGAGCATTGAGCAAGTGACCAGAGGTAACCAGGCGAAGGTTGGTGACCCAAGACGAGCCTCGCACAATCGTTTGCGACCCTTGGTGAGCCTTGGCTACCCTTGAACTTCCATATCTCGCTTGACAGACTTACGACCCTCCAAATGTCGCCTAACAGACCCGCAATCGTCGTCGACCCTCGGTGATATAAGTTACAATTAATGTGGATTGGGGTTTTGGAAATGCTAAATTTTGTCCCAAGGCATTTGGGGTTATGTTATCAAGCATCTCAAATTAGCAGGAAGGCCTTTGAAGGCTCATAGTCCTTTGGAAATGTTGGACCAAATGCACCTAAAAAAATTTATACCATTAGTGAGGTATTTCACTTGCCCCAGACTTATCCACCTAAAGAGCATATTGGCAAAAGCAGGAATGTTGTTAATAATGATTATAACTTTATTTAGTGGAGACATTGAAGTACGAATGATTTGCGAAGGTACCGCATTTGGCTGGTACGTCAGATCTCAATTGTACCAAGATCTTTTTCATGTTGTTTTGCCGGGATGAACAGTATCATTCTTTGTTTCGAAAAAAGATGCAAATCAACGCTCAGATAACAGTAGAGGGAACATGAAAGCATGATATTGAGGATCAGTTTGTTCGGAAAAAAAAAACTCTTTTTGAAAAATTATTTTTCGACTTTCCGGTATTTGGACCAAGGAAAATTAATCGATCCGCAGAAAACGTTTTCCATGAATTGAAAATAACAAGTTTAGATTGGGGAAAATAACTTCCCCTTCTAGCAAAAAGGAAATCACTTCTTCTAAATCACCAAATAAATGAAAATTTACTATTTTCCTAAATCAATTCCCCTAAATAACCAAACAAATGAAAAATAATGGAAAAATGTCATTGGAGAGACAAATAGGGGTCTGGAAATATTTGAACTCCAAATCTATTGCTCTGATACTTTGTTCTAAAAGTTCAAATTGTTAGATGAAAGCGTAATTTAATGTTCAAATATTTTAACACTTAATAAAGTTTTCTCCAAAAGATTTAAGAGTTTGCATGTGCACTATGTATATTTAAAATTAATTTCTCTAAATATGGAACTAGAAAATGCAAATTAATGATCATGAAGAAATAGAGATTTTCTTTGCATATTTTAAATTTGGACTTTTTCTAACACAACTCATACGTATATCTCAATAGAAAGACTTCTCTTACCCAAACCAATCTTATAAACATCTCATATTCAACTTAAGAGACTCACTATTGCGGTCAATAATCGAGAGACATTCATAAATGCACACGATGCAAGCATCATTGAGATATTGATATGCACATAATCGAAATTTTGAATCAAATATATATGGAGAAGGCAACATTCCACACATTTAAATCCTCCTTTAAATATAACTTTTCTCCTTCTCTTACGACCATAGCAATATTTCTTAAACGGATAAATATTAACTGCACAGGCTCTGTAATCACAGTATCCCACACATTTGAATTACAATTCGATTGAGGATGTCATTAAGCTTTTCAAAACAATACATGTATATAAGGAACTTTCTCTACTGTTGTCAATGGATGCACTTCTCCCTTTGTAGAGCTGTATTCTCTTGCATTAACTACAGAAGCTTGATACAAAATTGACGGAAGTGAAACGATTCTTCCTAAAATGATAAAATTGTTGTATATATTTACGTACCATATACAAGTCAAAGTAACCAATTTAGCAAAATAGTCTGCCACTTGCAAGTGCAAAGTTACCTAAGAATAGTATCCGCAAGTAGTTCTTGTATATGCACGTGTAGAACTTCTAATTAGTGAAAACATTTTCTTGCATTGAATGAATAAAACAATCGTATTCTTGAATTAAGAAATCTTACCAGTTCAGACGCAAAACGCCTTTTCTTCTAACTAAATTTCACTAATTTAGTAGCTTAGATCAAGAAACGGGTTATGTTACGTAAAGATTACAGAAACTACAACCTGCGGAAACTGGCCATAGGCTTGATTTGATTGTGGTTCAATTCAAGACAGCAGAAACAAATTTTCGAGACACAGAACGGGAAATAGGTTTTTATGAAGAATCATCGGCTCATGAAGCGGAAGCTGCCAAACGAGTTCTGATCAGAATCTTATCCATTCTTTCCAGGGAAACGCGATGAATGACAATTCCTAGGCATACAAAAGATGGAAAAAACGAAAAAAAATCTTGTTCAGACGAAGAAGAAAGCAAACAGAAGGAACCTGACAACATCGTTTTCAATGTGTGTCCAACAGGATAAGATTCCAGTCTCTAGAACGATGGAAAGAACCATCTATGGATAATGTAATGAAGAAGAATACCATATCCATCAAAGAAATAGATGGAAATAATGTTAACATATACTGATAAGCTGTAAAGAGAAAATTGAAAAATGAATGGCCTCTATTCGTTTCTCACTCACCAATTTGTATCATTTCCGAGCCTTTCAAGGGTAGAATTATACATAGGGACGATCGTCCTCATGATGATGACTTCCTCGCGCCCACAAAGAGCTGCAAAACACCGTCCGACCCGCCGGCGACGAGCGTGCACCTGTCCGAGCCAGCCTGCTTCCAGCACACGCTGCTCACGAACCCGCTCTCGAACCGGTGGGCCCATATGGGCTCGCCCCACCTCGCGTCGTACACGAACACCCGGTCGCTCTCTGAGCCGCAGGCGATCAACCCGCCGTCTGGCCACACGGACAGCCCGACGAAGCTCCGCGTGTTCACGTGCCCCCGATAGGTGCGGACTGCACATGTGTCCGCCACGCTCCACAGCTTCAGGCAGCCGTCGATGCTCGCCGACACCATCGCGTGCAAGCCGAGGAATTTGGCGTAGGTCACCGTCTTCGCATGCCCATCGAAGAACCGGACCGGGCCCGACATGTTGCGCAGGTCATATGTGTAGGCTCTCCGGTCCGCGCACCCGACGGCCAAAGTCACGCCGTCGAACCGGCTGAACTCGACGCTGCAGACGGCGGTACTCCGACCCGCTTCCCCGGGCCGCACCATGGAAAGGCACCTCCCGCCGTCACCACAGCGTGGATCCCAGAGCTGCATTGTCCCGTCGTCGGACCCAGACGCCCCGACGGCCGGGCCTGAGCTCGAGTAGTCCACGCTCCAGACCCGTCTGCCGCCGTGCTCGTCCCGCTCGAACACCGGCACCTGCCTCTCGAGGTCATACTCCGTGACAACCCCATCATAGTCGCCAGACCCGACGACCCGGCCGCCTGAGCCGGGCCGCCACCTGAGGCTGCTCAGCTTGGCCGGAGTGCATATGTAGTAGCTGCAGGCGCTGGAATGCTCCGAAAATGCAGTTGTTGTTAGGTCACTTTCTTGGGGCACCAGAGAGCTCAAGCTGTAAATCCTGATCTTCCGTGCAATCCCGCCAGTGGCGATGAGAGCGCCAGGCGGGTCAATTTCGATGACGCCGAGAGTGTCGGAAGAGGAGGCGGCGGCGGAGGAGACGACCGCAGAGAGATGGAAGTCCCACTCACATCTCGCTCTTTCTTCTTCTTGGGGCGGCTCAAGCCGAGGGGCGATGTTGAGCTCTTGATCTTGACCTCCACCTCTTTCTATGTTTTCTTGATTCTCCTTCCTTTGATCTCCGTCTTCTTGGGGCAGCTCAAACTGAGGCGTGATGGCGAGTTCTCGATCTCGACATCCTCTTCTCTCTATGTTTTCTTGACTCTCCTTCCTTTGATCTTCTTCTTCTGCTTCTCCTTGTTCTGCTGCTGCTGCTGCTTCTTCTTCGTTTCTTGTAATTTCTTGTGATTTCTGGGGTTGTAACAAGTTGTTCATCGCCCATACAAAAGAGGCGATGGAGGTACAGGTTGTGGTAGAGACGATGTGGTTGGAGGGCTGTGGGGCTTTGGACCAATCAAAGGATTGCATAAAGTAATGCGTGAGGATAGACTCATGGAACCCTCCAAGCTCTGAAGATTTCCTTTCGGCACTCCACAATTTGATACTTTGATAGCTTTGATGATGTGGATAAATATAAGGGTTTTAGTTATTCTGTCTTGTACTTTTCTTTTTGGGCAGTCACGGAATTCCAACTTTCTTGGTATGTGTGACTATCCCTCTAGACTTTCCTCTTAATTACTATAATGCCACTGAGAATATATTTTGTGGATGGCTTTGATGACCCACCGGCATTTTCCTTTAGAAATTCCCATTAGAAAATATCCCTCTTCTTTATTTTGGGGGAGTGGTGGGGAGGCTAATTAGAGAAGTCAACATCATGGCATTAGTTGCCTAGGTGACCACACTCGAGAATTCTAAAATTTAGTTCTTTTATTTTCATTTTTGGTGCCAAATTTTGTAATTAATTCTAGCCATTCTTTTTTTAAAAGAAGAAGAAGGGCTTTGCCATTCTCGTTCCCTTCGTTAAATAACACCAAGTGCTGTCTGGGTAAATTTGGTTGAACGAAAGAATTTTTCCGTGAATTAATCTTCAAACTTTCACACGTTTGGCTTGTCTCTCGAGAGGAGGCGAGGTGAAGACGAGGGCCAACATGTAAATAAGTGGAAAGGGCGAGGCCCAAGATGGGATTGTGCAAGTGTTGATATTTGGATAAATTTTTTTTTTTTTTGGTCAAGATATTTGGATAAATTTTGGTGGAAACGAGGGGATGTTTGAATGTGTAGGGGAAGGAGAGGAGGGGGGCGCATTAAATGAATTAATAAATGTTGGAGGGGAAGCGAGAGGAGGCAAAAGAGAGAAGTGGTGGTCGCTTTTGTGCCTCATCATGCTTGTGGATACCCTCTCTTTGTCCACGTCTCCGCTACGTGGTCTCCGCCAAGCCTCCCGTATTTCCATCCCCTCTTTCTCTTTCATTCTCTCTCTACCTTGTATTTTGAAAATAGTCCACATATCTGAAGAATATATTTGCTACGGGGTATAATATTGCGATAACAACATAAATAGTCCATAAACTTCGGCTCAATGTCAACATTCAACATTTTTATATAGTTTATAGACTAATTTGAATATTAACCGAAAGTTCAAGGACCACATTGAACAAATTAAAAATTCAGAGACCACACTGCACATTGAGATAAAGTTCGGAAACCACGCGGAACAAATTAAAAGCTCAGAGACCACGTTGCACACTTGACCAAAGTTTGGGAACTGTTTGTGTGATTCAGGGGCTAAAGTTCAATATTTTGAAGTTTAAATTAATTGAAGGACAACATTTAACATTTTTATATAGTTCGGGGACCGGTGTGAACATGTACAAAAAGTTTATGGACCACATTGAACAAATTAAAAATTTATATATCACTTGCACATTGGATTAAAAATTCAGGAACCAAGTTAAATAAATTAAAAGTTCGTGGATCACATTACATATTGAGTGAAATTTCATGAATTATTTATGTGATTTTCCCTGTAAAATCTTACGCATGTTGATTTGGTTCTCGTTGTGTTATGAACGCATTTGCATTCGAAGAAAAGTTTTAGATTCTTGGATTGCGAACGTAGTGTTGTGCTTAAATCGAACTTTGTACGTCCAAATAATTCCTAGTTATTGCCAGAACTTCAAGGGCCAAATTCCTAAAACCCCAACTTTAGTCTTTGTCTCAATTATATCCCAAATTTTTTTGTCTCATAAAAAATCCCAAACTTTTATTTTTGTCCCAAATCTACCCCGTTTACTATTCGTCTAATTTTTAATTTTATTTTTTATTTTTCGAATTTTTTTTCTTTTCTTTTCTTTTCCTTTCTTTTCTTTTTTTTTTTATCACCTTCAACCTCGGCGGTCGCCGTCCGGCAGCCTCAGCAGGTCCGCGAGGTCGGCCCGCCGTGGCCCGCGAGGTCGGCCTCGGCTGGCGGGCGAGGCCGAGCGCCGGCCGGCAGTCGGCCCCTCGGCACTGGCCGCCTCGCGGCCGGCGAGGGCCGCTCGCGCGAGGCCGGCCTCCCCGTACCCGCATGGGCCTAGCCTCGCCGATTCCGAGGCGAGCTCGCCCGCCCAAAGAACGCGAGGTTCGCCTCAGGCCGCCTCGCCGTTCTTCCGGGCGGGCCGACCTCGCCAGCGAGCGGCCGAGGCCGAACCATGGGCCGACTCGCCGTGCCGCGGGAGCCTCGCCAGCTGGGCGCGGGCTCGGCCTCGCCAGCCGGGCGAGGCCAGGCCTCGGCATACAGGTGAAATTTCATGAACTATTTATGTGATTTTCCCTATAAAATCTTACATATGTTGATTTGGATCTTGTTGTGTTATGAACGCATTTGCAGTCGAAGGAAAGTTTTAGATTCTTGGATTGCGAACGTAGTGTTGTGCTAAAAACCGAACTTTGTACGTCCAAATAATTCCTAGTTATTGCCAGAACTTCAAGTTGGGAAGTTTACCCTTTTAGGGCCACTCCGTGGGGAAATGGAGTCCTGACAACTTTCTGACCAGGCGTGCGTGCTTAGCTTGGTGAACAGCAGTTCGAAGATCAAGGTCGATTTAGGACGACGTCCACGTGTTAGGTGGTCTAGGGTTACGAAATCACAGCTGCGCCGTATCCCCTTAATGAAATTAAGTCGTATAGTCATTAATTACGGGACGAAGCTACTTCACAAAATTTTGGAGAGTCTCGTAATTTTTTTTGGGGACCGTATTGGCTTATCGCTTTTCCTTAATTACTCGCACATGAATTTATTGCGAACAGATGTGTTCATGTCTGGACGACCTTTCTTCTTGTCCGGAGGAGGCTGATCGTGTGTTTCAGATTCGAAGGCGTTGCGTCGCCCACTTGGAACTCTCACGTTCTCATTTCACATGTGGGATGTGATGTTTGAGCAAGTTCTAAGGTCTTGCGACCCTCCGTGTGTATCGCTTCGGTTATTTTCCGACTCAGTTTCAATTTAGTGTCCTCGTTGCTCACGCGACGTGTCTTATTTATCATCGTATAAATCATATCCTGTGATATTAGCTTTTACAGATGCTCGTTTAAATCGTTTCGATTGTCGACCGGTGCATCATGTCCTATGATTATATATGCCATGGACCCACTATATCCCTTTTGCATGATCTTTTCATGTTTGTGTTGTTGGAAAAGTGCAGTGAAAGTCTAGTGCCATTGTTATGGGAAGCTCGAAGAAGAAGCTCAAGATTTGAACCCATGTTACAGCTAATTTACTTGAACGGCAAGAATTAGCTGCTGCTCGAGCAATAGCTAATGGCTGTTGATAGCTTGATATCACCCGTTTATTGGTATATTCCATCATCGCGCACCTAATCACTCGTAATAATCTTGTAAAAGATTCCCTAGGCTTTACTTGTTCCACCAATCTCCGTCTTCCACCTGTAGTCACGGCACGCCTCCGCTGCCGCCCTCATTTTCCCGTCACCGGCCCACCCACTCTTCAATCAAAGGTGCCCCCAGTGGCTCTCTGTCTCCCGCTCTTTGTTCCTTGTTCTCCATGTCTTTGCAGCTTCAATCTCTATTTTCCGCTGTCCATGGCCATCGAGCTCCAGGACCTCGGGCTTCACCGTGGTGTCGAGCAGCAGATCTAGGGAAGCTCGGCAACGGCATCCAAGCTCCACGTTGTATGGGTCGAGCTCCGGTTGGATCTTTGATCGAGCTCCAGCCAAACATAAATGCCAATGTCCCTAATTTAGTTTTGACCAATGCCATAAAAATCAATACACATCAACATGCTAGAGTACTTCTCTCATTGTAAGCTGGGAACTTACAACCGTTACTTCTTTGGAACTTCCACACGTCACTTCATCAATCACGTCTTGCAGTTCGAGAACGAAGGTGAACAGGGATTAGTGGATAGCACAGTAACCAAAACTGAAAGTAGAGATTGCAGATTAGTGCAGACAAACAAGTAAAGAGCCATAAAAGCGGACCAACAAGTTCAGCTGACATTAGGGAAACAAACGAGAAAAAACTTCATGCATGGGCCAGAAGCGTCTCTTCAAGCTGTCCTTCAGGCTTTCCCAAGAGTAGAGTGAAGACAGCAGAACTCGGATCTTTAGCCCGCGTCAGATGAATTTGATGGGCCTCCCTGTCTGGTCCTTAAAGTTGATGCGGCGCTAGTCTCATCGAAATCACTCGCTATCTTACGATCGTACTAAGCAAACTCTATGATGTTGATCTTGAATTTTCGTTGAACAAATTTTATAGAATTCACTTTTGTCATAGGTTCGGTTAGTAAATTACTCGTGCTACGTAGGTAAGGACCGGCTTATGCGCAAGAGCTAAATAATCTGTAATAAATACAGTGTTGGTCATTTCCTAATGGCTTAAATTTAGAAAAATTGTCCAATTAGTTGTAAACTTATTATAAGAACGTCAGTTCGGTTCTTGACTTTGCAATTTTGTTAATTTGATCCTAAATATATGTACGAAATTTTAATATAGCTCTTCCGATCAATTTTTGTCCGGAAATTTTAGCGGTGTGACACAAAGGGCGGCTAGTAAAGGCTGTACCACCACGTCAGCGATATTCGATGAAAATTAACCGAAATGACTAGATTGGGATTTCGCGCAAAGATTATAGCTAAATTGTCAAAATAAAATAGTTTATGATTAAATTGACATCAGCACAATAGATTTAGAATCGACTGAATAATATTCCCCTATATTTTTGCACAAACAGTCTGTCTAATACATATAACTTCTTTGTATTTGAAATATTTAAAATAAAAACAAGAAATATGAAGGTTATAACATTTGCAAAAATATGGAGGTACGGTACATTGATGTACATATAAGTTCCTAGTGATGGGGATGAACTTTGGAAGTTAGAAAGTTGATTTTTTGCGAAAATGAATAATTTAAAAAATAATTATTTATATCATTTAAAATAATTAGTTAATGAAAAGTATTTCGTTATCGATAATAATTTATATTTAAATATTTTTGTGAATGATATAAAAAAAATTTTTCGTTCGTTTTCGTAATCGATATAAATGATTTTTTTTAAGAAAATATTTTCGAAAATTATTGATTTTTCACATAACAAACGCAATCTTTAAATAAATTACAAAATAAAAAAAAAGTTTTAATTATACACACCGTTAAATTAGGGATGATTTGCCATTTTCCCCAACCTCTCTCGCGATCGTCGTCTCGTCGTCTTCCCTCCGACGAGAACCGCCGTTCCGGCGAAGGAAAAAAGCGCGCGAAACCCATCCTTCCTCCGCCGAATCGAGATGACGGGCAAGCAGAAGCAGCAGGTGATATCGCGCTTCTTCACGCCCAAGCCCAAGACGCCGCCGCCGCGCGCGCCGGACCCCCCGCCGTCCTCCCCGTCCCCGTCGACCCCGCCTCCGAAGATCGCCGCCGTCGTCTCCTTCTCCCCCGCCAAGCGCCTCCGCTCCTCCCACCTCGCCTCCCCGCTCAAGAAACCGAAGCTCTCGCCCCACACTCAAAACCCCGTGCCTTCGCTCCTCCAAAAGGTCCATAGGAAAGAGACGCCGGAGCCGAGCTCCAAGAAGTACACGCCGCTTGAGCAGCAGGTGGTGGAGCTGAAAGAGAGGTACCCGGATGTTCTTTTGATGGTGGAAGTGGGTTACAAGTATAGGTTCTTTGGGGAAGATGCGGAAGTGGCCGCTAGAGTTCTGGGGATTTATGCTCACGTGGATCATAGCTTCATGACTGCTAGCATACCAACTTTTCGACTTAATGTCCATGTGAGGAGGCTTGTGAATGCTGGGTACAAGGTGGGTGTGGTTAAGCAGACCGAGACCGCGGCTATCAAGGCTCACGGTTCGAATCGGTTAGGCCCGTTCTGTCGCGGGTTGTCAGCCTTGTATACGAAGGCCACGCTCGAAGCGGCCGAGGATATGGGGGGTAAGGACGAGGGGTTTGGTGGGGAGAGTAATTATCTGGCTTGTGTTGTGGAGGAGAATTTGTTGGTGAAGAATAGGGAATGTGGCGTGGAGAGCGGGTTTGATGTAAAAATTGGTGTTGTTGCTATTGAGATTTCCACAGGGGAAGTTGTTTTTGGAGAGTTTAATGATAATTCGATGAGAAGCGGGCTGGAGGCTATGATTCTAAGTTTGTCACCGGCTGAGTTGCTTCTTGGAGACCGACTTTCGAATCAAACGAAGAAGGTAGCTTTCACTAGTTACAATTGATTATAAATTACTAGTTATAATGGATTATAAGTATATATCCTTGAGATATTGTTTGTTTAATTACAATGAACAGGGTTGCATCTTCTCTCTCTTCTGCCTTTCTGACTAGACTTAATGTGGAATTGATATATGTCCAGTTATTGGTATGTGAACATACATTATCTAGTTATGGAAGGGTTAATAGTTTACACCATGGAAGTAGTTGAACCCGCATTGAGAATCCTTTCCTGTTGCACAGGATTCATATCTTCTATATGTTCTCTTTCCACTTTGCTGTGAGAGGTGTGTGTTTCTTCCATGCAGCGGTTCAAAAAGTATATTTCACGCTATCCATTTGTGTACTGCAGTTTCGTGGAGCTCTTTTTGCATAAAACATCCTTAGGCTTTTGGTGCAAGATAGGGAAGACTGTCTGTCTTGCAAATATGTTATGTAGAAGTCATAAATACACTAATCTCATCTTCTTTTTCACCATACATCTCTTGGTTAGCTTCATAGTAGGAGAAACACACGATTTATCCCTATGATGTAATATTATCAATTAAAGGTTGCCATCCATGTTGTTGGGTTTATTTTATAATCACAAAGAAAACAGAGGCAGTGGAGCAGGTGGTTACACATGGATGGCAAACTAGACGTTGTAGTCATGCACCAGATTAGTTGATGATGTGGTGTGTACTGCTCATAGAATATTTTCTCTTGTATTAGATTCCCTGTATCAATCATGATGGAGGATCTTCTTCTCCTCGTGTCATTTTCATTATTTTCATAAGAATTAAATAGTTCATGTTTTGCTTATCCAGAGTAAAGAGACAATTAAAGTTGCCTTTTGCCTTGCAAGTTTATCTTTTTTATGCCAGACAAGTCCCAGGCTAATTTCTTGACTGTATGGACTTCGCATTTTCAGTTGTTACTCTCTTATGCTGGGCCTGCCTCAAATGTTCGTGTGGAGCATGCTCCTCAAGATAGCTTTACAAAGGGAGGTGCACTAGCTGAAGTGATGACTATTTATGAGAGTATAAATAGTGTCAACACATCAGTTACTGAAATGCGAAGTGGAGACAACGAACAGGAGAGTAGAAGCTCAGCAGTGGAGGTACTATATATATGAAGCATTTTATGTTATTTATTGGATAAGCTGGTCATGATTTATTGCTTGTCAATAAATTGGTCCAAATTTGAGGGCAACATATTGTTTAATGAGTCAGCAGCAGCTGAAATTTTGTACCTTTTTCATTTGGGGATGGAACTTTTAGTTTACCTCTTCTTTTCTTCCCACTGTTCCTGTCCAACTCATGTGAAAATTAATGATTAGCTTACAATATTCTCAGTTTCTATCACCTATTTTAAGCTTGATATTTTTGGTTCCAAAGGTAATGATGAATATGCCAGATTTGGCTGTCAAAGCATTGGCCTTATCGATACGTCATCTAAAGCAATTTGGTTTTGAAAGGATTCTGTGTCTTGGAGCAGCTTTTCGGCCCTATTCATGCAATATGGAGATGAGCCTTTCTGGCAATGTAATTCAACATCTTGAGGTACTAAGATTTTTCTTTAATCATCTTGTCATCCATAAACACATTCTGACCACCAATCTGAAACTCCTTGGCCCTCCTTTAATAGCAAATTATGGAAAAAGATAAACTAAAAGAGATCCCATGGCACTAATATAGAAACCAAGGCCACTGATTTGACCAGCCAATCACATGTTGCTGTTCCTAAAGGTGTATGCACCTCCTCTTCGACTGTCTGTTTAATTTCATTTTCATTCTTAAGAAATCCATTGGTTGGTTCTCAAAGATGAGAAAATGGAAAGAGCATATAAACATATATATGGCAAATCAAATTTTGGATCTTATGCGGATGCATGGAGTCTTGGAGGACAAAGGTTGTGGATAACTTGGTCTAAACTTCAAGAGAATGTCCTGATGAAGTTTTCAATGGATTTTTGTTTTGATCGGAAACCGTTTCTCCTCTTGATGACCTTATATCTGTCATAAATTATATTTTTTCGCAGCTAAAGCACTTCCTTTCTCAGTTTCCTTTTCCTTCCCCTTGAATGCTGAATATCGCTTTCTTGATGCCTATAGATCCTGAGGAATAACTCTGATGGCTCTGAAGCTGGCTCCTTGATGGAGATTATGAATAACACTCTCACCATCTACGGTTCGAGGCTTCTAAGGCACTGGGTACTTACCAAGTGTGATTTTGAACGGGAGTGCTTTTGTTAGTTTTGTTTGTTAATCTGTATTTGACTGTTTAAGTTCTTCCGAGATGATTTAGGTGACTCATCCTTTGTGTGATAGAAGCATGATTTCTGCTCGCCTTGATGCTGTTGCTGAGCTTGCAGAATCAATGGGGTCTTACAAAGTAACAGGAGATACTACTGTGCTTGATAATGAGAGTTGGGATGTGGAAGTAAAACAAGCGGAGCTCAATTATTTGCTTTCCTCAGTTTTGACATATTTGGGAAGATCACCAGATCTTCAACGTGGCATAACTAGAATCTTCTATCGCACTGCCACTGCATCAGAGGTAATAATTCGTCTACCTGGGAACCAGTTAGAGCTTGTGCCAGTAAATTTCCATTTTCTTTTTGGCCAGTTGTGCAGTAAATCATTGAATTATTTTTTTCCCTCTAGAAAATTTGTTTTTAAGGACATTCCTCATTCCTTTTGAGGAACTTTTAGACTTTATTTCCCATTTTAGGTGAGAGACTTTTTTGAGAATACTTCCAAGCAACCCTTGAGTTCTTTGGAACAATTTCTAAAGTTCTTTAAGCTTGATGTGGCAATTTAAGCATCAATTATCTCCTCGAAAAATTATTTGGAGGTTTATGATTGCCAAACCTATTTTGATTTAGTTTTCCTGTGTGCTGATTGGTTCTAAATAATCTCTTTTATAGTTTATTGCAGTCATGCAAGCTATACTGCATTCTGGAAAACAACTTCAGCGACTTCATGTGGAGGAAGAGTTCAATAACGATGTGCTGCATTTAAAGTCTGTCCGTTCTGTTTTGTTGAGAAAGTTGATTTTGACCGCATCATCAGCTAGCATGATTTCCAATGCTGCAAAACTACTTTCAGTTCTAAACAAAGAAGCTGCTGAAAAGGGGGACTTGTCCAACTTAATTGTGATATCCGATGGCCAATTTCCTGAGGTCAGTAAGCCCTACAAAGACTTACATTTTTCTTTTGTTTGCTCATGTCCCTATTTCCTTATCAAATACCCTTTCTATGTCTACTTATCTGAATCTTCATACATTTTAAGGTTACTGCTGCCCGGAAAGCTGTTCAAGTGGCAAAGGAGAGATTGGAGTCATTGATTGTTATGTACCAGAAGCAACTTCGAATGCGGAATTTAGAGTTCATGAGTGTCTCTGGAACTACACATCTGATAGAGGTAACTGAGTTTGGACTTAATCTTGGATAAATGTTTGAATCTTGGTTTGTTGGCATGTAAAAGTAATACATCTTGAATTGATGAAATTTCTTCTAGGAACCGAAGTAAAGCATCCTTTAGCACATTCCTGGTTTGGGCATATCAGCCAGACATTTTAGATTTTTGCCTCTCGATTTTAATGTCCTAATTCTGTTGCATGTTAGTTTGTATTGCAGTGAAAGACATGACATTTGAGTGATTCTGTAGCTTCTTGCTTGCATATCTAATATGTTAAATTTCTGCAGCTCCCTGTAGATGTAAAGGTTCCTTTGAATTGGGTCAAAGTAAACAGCACTAAGAAAACAATACGCTATCAGCCACCCGAAGTCGTTACTGCTTTGGATCAATTGACATTGGCAAATGAAGAGTTGATAATTGCATGCCGAACTGCTTGGGATGGTTTTCTGCTAGGATTTGGTAAATACTACCCTGAGTTTCAAGCTTCTGTTCAAGCTTTAGCTGCTTTGGATTGCCTACATTCACTAGCTCTCCTTTCAAGAAATAAGGTGAATTGACCAACACAGTTTCGTTCCATATCCTATAGCTTCTTTTGTTGGTTTTTGATCTCTGAAGGTTTCTGTTGCAGAATTATGTTCGTCCAATTTTGGTCTACGACGATGATCCTGTCCAGATAGAGATATGTTCCGGTCGTCATCCAGTATGTGTGAAATGCTTGTTGACCCCTCATAACTTTTATTGCACCTAAGTAGATGAGTAATTATGTCTGTTTTAAAATTAGCATTACTACCTGGTTTGACATACTGAAATTTATCAAGTATTTTGCGTGTTTTCTGATATTGCAGTTTATGCCATGGCGTAAAATTTATATTCTTTGAAAGATTTCAAAAGGTTTTCCCAAATGTTTTGACTGAAAAAGGCTGTTATAATATAGAAAATGTGGAGGTTAACAATTTTCTCACCGTAGTTTGTGCTTGTCACAAGTTGGTTAAGACCCATATGCCTAAGCTGGTCTAGCTTTAGTTCGCATTACTCTTCCTTTGCGCTCTATCCTGTTGCATCAATTATTACTGAATATGAGTCCATACTTCGTAAGTGTTGATGCTAAAATCTTATGTATGCATGGCTTTTCTATGGTTTTGGGCCCTTTTCAACTGTTGCGATTGGTTTGACAGGTTTTGGAAACTTTATTACTTGACAATTTTGTTCCAAATGATACCAACTTGCATGGGGATGGAGAATTTTGTCAGATTATAACGGGACCGAATATGGGAGGCAAGAGTTGCTATATCCGCCAAGTTGCCCTCATTGCTATTATGGCTCAGGTATCTCTCTTCCATAATGAGTTAGCATCGTGCACTAATTCTATGCTTCCTTTCCAAAAGCTCTTATTTCTCTGTCCTTTTAATTTGATGTAGTGCAAGATGAAGTTCCACCTTCATTATCTAAATAGCTGAATGGAAATATTCCTTTATTGCGTATCCCCTCCTCTGCATGCTCTGTCATCAGGAGTTCTTTTAGGGGGTGGATCTTTAGCGGGCGGTTGCCTCATAAAAGAATGCCTTCTGATGTCTCTAGGTTGGTTCCTTTGTACCAGCATCTTCAGCGAAATTACATGTACTTGATGGCATTTACACCAGAATGGGCGCATCTGATAGTATTCAGAAAGGGAGGAGCACCTTCCTCGAAGAATTGAGCGAGGCTTCTCTTATACTTCGCAACTGCACTCCACGTTCACTAGTAATAATTGATGAGTTGGGCAGAGGAACTAGTACACACGATGGTGTTGCTATTGCTTATGCCACACTGCATTGTCTTCTAGAGAAGACAAGGTGCATGACCCTCTTTGTCACACACTACCCCAAAATAGCCGACATCCAAAATGAATTCCCAGGGTCCGTTTCAGCATATCATGTTTCATATCTGACATCAAGCAAAGATGCAAGATCAGACGCAAGTTCTGATTATGAGGATGTTACCTACCTGTACAAACTTAGGCATGGTGTTTCAGAAAGAAGCTTCGGATTCAAGGTTGCTCAGCTTGCACAGGTTTAGTGAATTCTCCTCCATTTCTTCTCATGTTATGAATGCCAGTGCACATTCTTACGTGCGTTTCTTTTGTGGGTCATGTCATCTATATTCAATACTAAAATCACATCCATAATATTGTTCATTATTTTCTTGGGTAAATTGAACTAATGGTCACTAAACTGAGTGGACTTTACTATTGGCCACTAAACTTTGGTTTCAATCATCCCATGCACCCAACTATCAATTTTTTGCAATTGATGTGCTTTGGCCGGAATCTGGCCAATTTGTCCACTGCAGATACCACCTTCTTGTATAAATCGAGCCACTGAAATGGCTTCAAAGCTCGAGGCTGTCATGAGTAGTAGGTCAGAGAATGGGTTGATGCAGACAAAGGCTGAACAAGAAGCAGAAAGAGAAAAGAAAAAGTCGAGGCCTTGCTTTCTCCAAAGTCTGGAGTATTGGGATACTGTTTACAAGGAATTCCTTTCAAACCTAAGATCTGCTTTGGAAGAGGAGGACGCAGCAAAAAGATTTCAGTTCTTAATTAACGCTAGAACTCTGGCAAAGCAGTTGACACTAGATCCTCATAACTTGATCTCGGATACCCAAGTTCGACAAGATTGATTTGATTCGACTGTACAGTAAGCATACTACGGACATGGTGGTGGAGAAACACGAGAGACACGAACAGGTTCAACTGTTTATGATTCTAGTAAATAGGATTAAAATGTGTAAAATTTTGTGAAAGAGGGCGCTCCTTTTCCTTGTTACCCTGTGTTTTCCTCAAAGCATCCGCACAGATGACTTCGTCTATTCATATGATTTGGTGCACAATGTCTGAGCTGTACATGTTCTGGTGCAGACAAACGCAATTTTGTACATCTACATGCCGTTCTGTGTTTGTATACAATGTTCTTTGTTTTAATGCTTCTAGTGAAACAACTTTTGCAGCAAAAAGAGCTAGTGACAGAACAACCCAGGAAGCAGATACTGTCATGCGTCTTGACTCGACTTGAAGGTTGAGCGATAACCATTCATCAACCAAGCTGGAGCTTCTTATTCCTTCTTCTGCCTAATTGAGCAGACCCTTTGAAGCATCACCGCTGCTACTTTCCTGCAATGTGAGGGCTTGGAAGATCACCAAGCTAACAAGTTCCACTCTTAGGACAAAGCAAAAGGCTTCATTTCAACCCATTTAGAGGGAAAAAAATGTGAGGTGAAATTTGTGAAAATTATCATTAATTCACACTTGCGGGGGGAAACTATGACGGTAGAGAAATTGGTGAAACTTATTAGTTGTATCTTTATGTTAGCTAATTAACTCGGTGTGATATTTCAAGAACTCAATACTTGCATCCTCAAACTCACATTTGTTGGCTCATTATCCATTAAAAAAACAGATTTTGTTAACGGGTAACTTCGGACACTTTTTAAACAACCCAATTAAAAAGAATTCGTAATTTCCAATACACCATCCCTCTTGTGCTATGGGTAATCAACGCAATTGAAAATCAAAACGTTTCCATATTAAGTATTTAAAAAGTACACTTAACAAGAAATTACATGCGATTGGAAAGTTATTGTTATGGATAATTGTAGGTTTTCATAAATGCGATGAGGCTATTTGATATGGGAAGAAAAAATGAAGTTTTTTTTTTTTTTGTGAATTTTCCCTTCGTGGTTTTGTGTTTGATCATTTCCATGTGCGATTCTTGAAGTGGAAACCAGCAACCGAAAATTCATAGCACAAATGCGTCGTTTCGAGCAAAGGAGCTTCACGATAACACTCTGTGTTTTTCCGGCTAATTGATGGTCTCGGTCGGGATCAATGCCGGTAGGTCCGATGTGCAGATGGATTGTGGCCAGAGAAGACGTCCATGCCTTCGATTCTACATGAACTGTAAGTGCTTCTAGTGTCTAATGCTTCAAGAACTGTAGATTGATGATCATCTTTGATGCGGAAGCTAGTTCGTCGCATTTTGCATCTTCATCCTGTTGATGGAATATGATGCAAATTCTATTGCATCATTCTATCTTTCGCTGCATATCTCGGATTATGCTGATGGGTTTTTTTCTTTTTTTGGAAATACCCTTTGTTTTTCTTCTTTTGAATGGATCAGATTGTGTATTTACACAGAGCATTATAGAATTTCCTGAGGAGTAGGCATGAGAAACTTGATGGAAGACGAGGGCTTGGGAGATGACTCCCCTCCGGTTTCATCGGAGGAAGAATGGTCGAATGAAAGGAAGAGAGGCTTTGATGTGACAGATGTTCGATCACAGAAGAAGCACAGGTTTGGTGAAAATTCGAAATCAGAATTTGAATTGGGTTCTGCTGCTTCGGATTGTCGTTGTGAGTCTGGTCTCTCCAAGGCATCATCAGATGGTGGATCCCATTCTGATAAACGAGATGGTAGTGGGAGTTCTGGAAAGCGGAGGCGGACCAGGAGGGACCCGCGAGTCGGGGATGATGAAGAAAGTGCAGAAGACGATAGGAGCAAGAAACGAAGAAAAACTAGGTGGTCTAGCTTCGATACACGGATAAAATTGTTAGGACCCCTACAGCTTCCCGACTTCATCAAAGAGAGTGCACTAGAATCCGACTCCGACCCAGAAATAGTTAAGCTGAAGGCAGAGCTTGCAGAACTCAACAGTGAATTGCAAAAGCCGGTGCTTCACGACGTCCGACCCTCGGAAGATCAATCCCCTTCTCCTGAACCTGTGTACAATGATCTCGGCATCAGAGTCAACACGCGTGAAGTAAGGCTTCGGGAGGAACTCGTTAGGAAACGCCAAGGAATTATATCGAAATTGATCCAGAAGCACCCAACTTTCAAGACTCCTCCAATCCGCAAGCCCTCCAAGCTCTTCAAGAAGCTTTACGTGCCAGTGAAGCAGTACCCAGGATACAATTTTGTCGATCTTATTCTTGGTCCTCGCGGAAATACTCAAAAGAGGATAGAGAAAGAAACCGGAGCAAGGATTTCCCTGAGGGGCGCAGGCTCCTTCGCCCGGGGGAAACATGCCTCTGAAAACGATGACTTGCACGTCTACATAGAGGCAGATAATCAAGAATCTCTAGATGCAGCAGCTGGAATGGTTGAGAAACTTCTGATTCCGGTTGATGCGAGAATGAATGATCACAAACGAACCCAACTGAAGGAGTTTTGTGCATTGAGAAAATTTTATCCCGAGGCACAAGGTCCGTGCTTTATGTGTGGCATGCAAAGGCATCCAAATCATGCCTGCCCTGCCCAGCCACCTGATTCTTCTTATGTTTCCTGCAACACATCCGACAGCAATGGAAATCTCTATGTCAGCCACTTGCCTCTAACGGTAGATGATGATCAGTTGAAAGAGTTGTTCTGTCCTTTTGGCAAGCTTGTTGAAGCTAATTTGATTAGGGACCATAACACAGGAGTCAGCAAAGGTTATGGGTTTGTCCGATTTGAAAATCCATCTGATGCAGCTGTAGCTTCGTCACATTTAAATGGGTTCGAGATGGGGAAGAAGGTATTGACTGTGAAAGTGGCTGGAAAAGCAAAAGTTGGTGAATCAGTCTCTCCTAGTGTTGCGAGCCAGACAGCTTGGCCAGGTCCGCCAGGATCATTGCTTTTGGAGCCTCAGGGCTCCTGTGCACCAAGCATCACAAACCACACAACTCTGCCTGGTCCACCAGAATCACTGCTTGTAGAAGCTTCAATCTGCTCTACTCCATGTGTTGCAACCCAGGTGGCTTGGCCTGGTCCACCTGGATCACAACTGATGGAACCCCAGGCTTCCTTTCAGAAGAGTGAAGGGATGTCTGATCTCCCTTCTCAGAATCACGACTTCAACTTCACTCCATCTAGCGTTCAAAGTCTCTCAAATAGTAGCAATACAAGTTCCCTCCGTTCATCTAGCCGTTTTTCAGACCGGTTTCCATCTTCATCACCGTGTTCATTAGTGCAGCTCCCTGGTCATCCTGACTACCCTAACTCTAGCTCCTCATTCGAAACTATCCATGAAAATCCAAAAGATTTCCAGACACCAGAGAGCCTTGTGAAACCAATAAACTGGCCAACGGCTCATCGGCCATCATAGCCTTGGTGTGCTGTATATAGCTATATCAAAGAAATAGTGAGTAAATATGAGATGAGTGCTCGTATACTTTTTTGTGCTATTTCGAACATCAGCCAATATTATCTGCGAAACTTCAGTGATTACAGCTAAACATTCAGCTCACGCTTTGTTCTAATGTTGAATTTTCAGTGTTCTTCTCAGATACTGCATGAATTTGCTCAGCATCCACATGGATTTGCTTCAGTTCTCCTTATAAGCTTTTGGCAGAATGAGTTTGACACAATGAATAGCAACTTGCACCGCAGCTTGGATATTCATAAGGGTTAATATCACGAAAAACCCCAAATTAGTACACCTGTGATAATTTTACCATAAACTAATTTTTTGACCACCAAAAACCTCAAATTGGTACACTTATGACAAATTTATCCTTAGTTTATTTCCGCTAAATTTTACCGTCAAATTGCTTTGTTAAATGGCACGCTATAGTTAACTGATGTATCAGTTTTATGTTTTACCCTCCATTTATTATAGGTGTACTAGTTTATGATTTTTTGTGGTATTAATTTAATTTAACGGAAACTAACGTATGGTAATTTGTCACAAATGTACCAGTTTGAGGCTTTTAGTGGTCAAAATATTAGTTTTGGATAAATTTATCACGTGTGTACCAATTTGGGGTTTTTTGTAGTAAAAAAAGTAGTTTGGGATAAAATTATCATGGGTGTACCAGTTTGGGGTTTTTGTAGTATTAACCCTATTCATAATGGGGTTTCTTCAAGCAGAGCATTAAACTTAATACCCTTTGATGGAATTTATTTGCTAAATCCAAATAAGGGTCTTTGATCTAACAAACGTTTCTTAAAATCCAGGTTAGGATTTCCTTATTTATGCACTTTGTCTGATTTTTGTAATCTTTAAGTATGCGCGCGGTCAAGGAACTCGTAAACCGGATTACAAGACATTGTGACTGTTACTAGTGAAAGCCTGACATGCTTGACATTCCAATGGCCAGACACACGACAGGGTAGAAAAACAACCTTGATCTGTATTTTAGGACTTGTATCTTTGAGTAGTTATTGCCGAGCATCCAATGGATGGATATGGTTAGTCGTTCAATCATATATGCTTGATTTGAGCCTTCCAGTGGTGACTAACACAGTCCAACCAAAAATTTAAGACAAGCAGCTGAAAGTTTTTCATTTATGCAACTCAAGGAGTGTCATCCCTAACATTGGCTATGAACTGTCGTAGTTCTCTCGCTTTCTTCTCATGTTCAGGTGACACCTCAGCATCTGACTCGCTTAAATCGATTACATCTATATGCTGATAACCAAAATGCTTGCATTTAGTAACGGTTGGATGCCGGATTGCTGGGGAAGGGCTTAAGAGATCGATGACCTCCTTTTCAGCAACACTTGTATTAGCCGAAGAAGAGGGCATGGAAGCATTACAACCACGTTCAATGTCCAGCTCTTGATCAACTAATGAGCCGTCATCCAATAGATCAACATCAATTGCGACTCTTCCATTTTCTGATGTTACGGCTCTTGAAGAAAGTGGATTAGTTTTAGGATTGCTGCCGCTTTCGGAGTTGATTTCGAGCAACAGTTGCTGGAGCTTCAGATCAAGCTCTGCAAGCAAGCACTCGCTCTTCAATTTTCTCTGTCTTGGCTTATGACACTTCTGTTTTTTCCGCAGAGCTACTTTCTCCTTGAACTCCAGTATCTTTTCAGGACAAGCACTAGAGGACGAATGAAAAATTGAAAATAAAAAGGAGAGGAGAATTAGAGTGAATTTGGGAGAGAGTTGGTTAAAAAGCATAAGCCAGCAACACAGGTAAAAATGATAGAAAAGCCATAAGTTATGTGATCCAGCATTTCAATACGTCGCCCATTACCATAAGTATGAAAAGCAGATGCACAAAGCAGCATGAAGCACCTCACCTTTCCAAAAGATCAGCAGGCACAATGCTAGTTTCAAGTCCGTCCAAGTGCTCCCATGAGACCTCAAAACATTCTACACCGAGAAGTTTTCTCTGCTTGATGATTCCAGACACAGGACATTTGACAGGAATCTGCAATTCAGAAATACTTATTTCTTGAAGTGAAAATGGAGCATATTCTCGATGACTCAACAAATAAGGTCCTACTGAATAGATAAGTGTATGACCATAAAAAAGGGAAAATTAAGAAGCACGAGGCATTATTGCAAAGGGAAAATTCATACTTCATATAGAGGAAGCTCAACCCCAAGTTTTGAAGATGCTGACCGCAATTTGGCAAACCTCCTTAAGTCTCTCTCTGCAATCTTTGGTAGGATATACTCATCTGAGGACAACTATAACAACATGAGCATGCAAATCTTTGTATGTAAGGTCGTGTGTGTGTGTCTGTGCACACACTAACAGGAGAGCACGGATGTACATAGAAAACATCAGTATATCTACATGCGAGAGTGGATAGAAAACCTGTTTTCTCAGGAGGCCACTCAAACATCTCGGCACATACTTCTTGAAATTTAGTACGATGAAAAGGATGATTTGCAAGGACCCTACAAAGATTGAACTAGTTAATTGCCAATTGATCATCATCATCATTACACCAAAATTCGAAGGAAAAATAAAGGCAAATCAAGTAGCTCGAATGTTTTGCATCTTATTTACCTTCTGCTCCATTAATTGATAAAGAGTCGCTTTGGTTCATAATGTTTTAACTTTCAGCTAAAAGGTTGCTCGCTACAAGATTCCCAAGCAATGGTCATGTGCATGCCATGAAATGATTGAGTAGGGCAACTCAGACCATTCAGTAGCTAAATTATAAACCTTGTGATATGCTTAGCCAGTTTTGAAGTTTCAGACAAAACCTACATGACAGTCCACGAAAAGAAGGCAAAAAAGTCCAATAGAAGCTGAAAACATATGTCACCAGATCATGCAAACCTGTCAGTCAATGGAACATGGATCAACAACAGTCCTGCCATCTCTTTGCGTCTTTATTTGCTTGAGTCAAAATTAATCGCAATAGTTTGATAGAGAGAAGGAAGAATAAAAAGCATGATCTACTTATGAGATTAAGTGTGCAGTACGGGGAAGGATATTCTATTGCGACACCCATATCAGACATCTATAAGTACTGAAATCTTTAGTGCGGCCTGATCGCGTCACAATATCGTACGGTCTTTCTGTGAGTCTTTGTGGTGGTAAAGCTAAACGGATTTATCATGCAACAATAATATTTTATTCATTTTCGAACTCACTCTAAGAAAAAGATGCAGAAGAACAAATCTGTGGAAGATGGAAATATGCCTTCTTACCTGTAGACGGCTTCAGAATCTGCGGAGTGACACTTTGGCCTAATATATGCATCAATAACTTGCAAAAATTGTTCATTTCCTTGAGAATTACGCGTACTACCTATCACAGACATAAAAAAAATTCAATTCTATGTTGAATTGCAAAAACTGAGAATATGTAACAACTGCTACAGAAATGCACATAGATATTTGAAAAATTGCTGCAGAATAAGCCTTCAAAAGATCTCCTCATTCTTCAGATTATGGTGACTAGAAATTGTTAACAACCTAGAATGTAAAAAAACAAATTACTGTGAAAGAACAAATTACCACAATTAACTTAATCTTTTGAGCTATAAGATTTTAAGAAATATTGGCATGTCAGTATATATTAAAGCATTTGAAAGATATACCAGAGGACAAGCTGAAAGTCCTGTACAAATCACTTGCGCATCTTTCGTATATTAAGTCAAGGACAACTGCAAGTAAAGATTTCTGACTCTTTCATGGTCAATCTTAGTTCTTTTTCTGCTAGGGCATAATCGATCTCAGTTGAATTTAGGAGCATAAGTTCCTATTTCAACCAAATATATTTCACCAACCCAAGTCATTCTGCTAGAACTACAAATACTTAATAGCATCATATCAAGTTCCAATGACTCACCATTGACATCAAACTCATTAGGCGATGAGTTTTTCTTATCATTTGGCTCATGCAGCTTCTGCTGTTTCTTTAAACCTTTTGTCTTTTTTACAATGGGCAATCCCCCATATGCAATCTTTTGAAGAACCCCATCATCTCCAGCTGATTTTACTATCTGACAAGCCGACTCCTATATGAAGCAAGAGCAAGCAGGTCATGAATAAAGATGCACTATAATTGTGGTCTCGCAGTAACCATAGAGAGAACCCACAGTAGCTAAGAAGTACAGATATCTAAAACTCACTGGACCAAAACCACGAACTCCATGGGAGTAGTCACTCCCCAGAAGCAGGGCAAGTGCAATCTGAAAATCATAACTAGCTGAGTTAACAAAAGAGGTAACAAATAATAATTGAGGGAAGATTGCAACATAGTTTATGCCTGCAGGCACACGCAAAACGAAATCACCACATAGCCTTAACTGTCCATCATGTGCAAGGTGACAAATGTCTAGAGGTACTTCAAGAACAATGAAGAGAGTGACATATCTCATGAGCAGATGCATGGGCCGATAAGAGAATTACCAACGATTTTCTTCCAAATCCAAGCTGTCTCTCTATGTCTGCCATTTCATAACAGATAACATAACCACCATCACCTGATTCACACGGCAACTTTTATTGTTATTTGAACATAAAAATTCAATAACAAGTCCCTTTTTTCGCAAGGAAAAAAAAATACAAGGATGACTTAAAGATCTCAAAAAAAGACAAGTTAATTTATATACTTACCAAGGCAAATGTCTCTGTAAACTGTCTTTGCTCCAAAGAGGAAAACATCTGAATCGGAGGTGAAGCATCCATCCTAATAATTGCAGCAAAGTCATGGCAATGGAAAATATACTGGCAGGACTATTAATAAAACAGGATTTGTGCTCACACATAGTGATTCTGAGTTTAACAGTGCACACTGAGCTTCAGCTTCCTCCATCCTGAATAATAGGCATGACAAGTTAGCAAGTTTCATCGCTACATTGGAAATAGTTTCTAGACAATTCATCTATTTTTTCATAAATCTGTAATTTCTAATGCTTAGAAGTTAAAACATTCTTTCACAAGGAGGTAAGGCGATCAATAGTTGCTCAAAGCACTTTTCAGCCAAAGTGTTTGCAAAGGGAAAATTGGAAACAAAAGTTTCCATTAATCATATTCAACAATGGACGATAAGGCATCTATTTTGCAAAACCGATGTACTGAATGCAAATACAAACACAGGTGTATATGTTGCACTTGTTACATCTCATGGCAAAATAAAAGGCTTTGTTGGGTTTGATCTCCACTTTCTCTTACGAATGAACACTTTCTGCCTTACTACTACAGTGATTCCTAGCATACTATGAATAATGCTAAGTACTGTGGAAAACCTTACCCATCTAAGCAAGGAATTCCAAGTGCCATACCCAAAACCTTCGCCTCTTTGATCATGCGCGAGAACTCAGAGCCCATGTTTCTTTTCAGTGAAGCTAAGTTTTGTAGATTTGTTTCTTCTCGATTAACCTGCCCTCACTGAGGTTAGTATGAAAACACAATGCAAAGGATGTCCAAAGACCATACAGCTTGGATCAGGGGAGATAGAACAGTAATGCAAAGCACAGTAGATAGTGTGAACGATACCTCAATTCCCGAATTTAGACGACGCCTGTAAGTGGATAGTTTGATTGCAGGAATGGATCCATCTGAATAAAAGAAAGATCATGGCTCAAATACTCAGTACATGTCTTCTAGATGAACCAGTGAAAATGGCATAATGTAACATGCCATGAGACGAAACAAGGACGACTTTTCTTAGTTAGAAAAAGGAAAGAAAACAAGCATCTTTTTTAAACAAAAATCCAGTTTTGTGTGGTCATGACACACAGAATTATGACAAAGAGAGGAACTTTCACAAAAATTTTGTGCCGAAACTTTCAATTCAGCACATAAGAGAACCTCCTCAGCAGATGGAGTCATGGCCCATCACATATTGGGTAGCACCAAAATCGACAAACGAAGCTTCACTACGGTAACCCTCAAGGAATTAAACTTAAAGCACCGACCTGTAGCTCAGCAGGGATCGGCAAAGTAAAAGAGGCAAGGAGAAGCAAGACTTTTGACGATGACCCAACAAGCGAACTTTCACTCCAGGAGAAACAAGAAGGCAAGAACCCGGACCTGTGACGAAAATGAGGCTGCAGTTGAGAGCAAGGAGAGCTCTGAGCCGGTGGAAGAGGCCCTTGAGATAAACCTTCTCCTTCATACAATTGTGGGACTTGCTCACGTTCTGCAGCTGGACCATCCAACACGAGAGATCGATGCACATTCTCTTGTTCCTGCACCCAATTCAAGAACGTCCGGTGACATACATGTATGCAGACGGACCCGAACACCCTCTTGAATCAAGAACAGACAAACAAGAACCGCAGCTCGACGCAGGGAAAGAGACAGAGGGGAAGCTCACTGAAGGTGGTGAAGAGGGATGGTTTTCTTGCACGATTCCAGGATGTCCCACAAGTTCTTCACCCCCATGCTTGCTCTCTCTCTCTCTCTCTCTCTCAGAGACAAAGCGAGCGACTTCGAAACCTTTTGAAAAGATGCAAAGTCTAGTTTTCGAAATGAACCGAGAAAAGTGGAGAGCAATTCATGGGCCGGGCCGAACTATTTGAATGGCAACTTGTGAAAGAGGCTACCAAGTTTGAAGAGCTATGGTGGGTAGGAATCGATTGTCAGAAATGTAGCATTGACGGTGATATGTTGCCAATAATCCTCCTACTATAAAGAGCAAGAAATCAACTTTGGTTTTCCTTGTAGATGGAAAAAGAAATGATTTTTGCTTTGGTGGACCGACCACCTACCCTACCAATTTTACGGTACGGCTCAATTATCTCCCCCCGTGGTCGAAGCAAAAATTCGACAACCATTTATTGTCGAAATAAGTCGTTCGATCACATGTGCATCGCAAATTGTCGCGAATTGCGTTTCGCGTGCTAAAAGAAATACAGGGATTCGCTCGACGTTGTACCACGTTATAAAGTCGAATGGGTCATTTCGTTCTTTTCGAAATTTGGGCACTAAATTTAAAGGCGTTACCTTACCATTTTGTCAGCATTGGAATCTTTCCCGTAACATGCCAAGACCAAAGTTTATGAAATGAAATTGTGAAAGAATAGAAATGTCAAGATTGCATTTTGGAAAGGCAAATCCAATGCCGTAATTGCCCAAAAGGGAAATCCATCTACGACCGTCCTGAATTCCTCTATTTGTTTTTTTTTTAGTCTGTCTTATCTTTGACTCTCTTCACTTTGTGACTTTTGCTCTATTTCTTGTGGAGTGCGAAAGTCGAACCTCGCACTTATGATAGTAACGTTCCAAATATCAATTAGTCATCGAAAGAAACTTGTTTTTATTAGGAGAGTCCCTAAAACTTCTTTTTGACCGAATTGTGGCTTCTCTTTTTTAATATCAAACATTTTTCCACTTTCCAACATGACATGCTACTGACTGGCTGCCAACCTCACTAAAAGAGTAGGGGTAATCGTAATTATTAATTGTTGATAAGCTTTTCCTAGATACGAAAATTAGAAAAATCAAGAAAATCATTTGATAAAATAACACGTTATCGTCCAAGGCCGTCACGTTAATCAGGCCAAACCAAAACTATATTATATATAGACTAAATCGAGCTTTAAATAAAAGGGATATTTAAAAGGATAAATGCACTTAAAGTCCTAAAATTTATTATGAAAGTGTAATTGAGTTCTGAAACTTTATAAAAATATAATCATGTCCTATAACTTATCACGAAAGTGTAATCGAGTCTTACAACTTTAAAATAGTGCAATCAAAGGAATGACTTGTTTGGGCTAATTCGATAAGTTCTAGGACTTGATTATACTTTTTGAAAGTTTTAGGACTCAATTACATTTACGAACGAGTTTTAGGACTTAATTATATTTTTTAAAAATTTTAGGGTTCAATTGTATTTTTACTATAAATTTTAAGAGTTCCGATGCAATTATCTCTTAAATAAATACAAAAACGTCTCAGCCTGTCTTTTACGTGCGCACCCAATTTCGGACCACGCCCCCGTCGACTCCGAATCGAATTCGGAATCTCTCGCTCTCTCTCTCTTCTCTCTCTCTTCACTCTCTCTCGCTTCCGAAGCACGTCGGCGATGGCGCTGCAGCTGTGGGAGACCCTCAAGGGCTCCATCGTCGCCTACACCGGCCTCTCTCCGGCGGCCTTCTTCACCGTCGTCGCCCTCGGCCTCGCCGTCTACTACGTCGTGTCCGGCCTCTTCGGCTCGTCCTCCGACCGCCACCAGCGGCCGCGCGACTTCCAGGAGCAGATGCAGCCCCTCCCCCCGCCCGTCCAGCTCGGCGAGATCTCCGAGGAGGAGCTCCGGCAGTACGACGGCGCCGACCCCAAGAAGCCCCTCCTGATGGCCATCAGGGGGCAGATCTACGACGTCTCCCAGAGCAGTTACGCCGCTGGGCCCCTTGTTTTTGGGCCACGTCGGATGAAATCGTTAAGCGCTCGTCGCGCGGTTCCGGTCGTTTTGCCTGCGGCGGCCGTGGGTTGCGGGATCGGATCGTCGCTGTGTCGGGATGAACTTTGCTCGACCGGGTCAAAGCTTGAGTGGTCCGATTATTTGACTTGTGATTGAAGATTCTTTGACCGATTCCGATGCGATGTTCTTTCTAGGACGGATTATTGTATTGAAGATGCCCTGCCTAGTGACTCTGAGTCGGTAGAGTATTGATGGAGTTTAGGGTTTTATTATTTCAGCTGCTACAGTGGTTTTCGGGGACTCTTCGTGTTTAGTGTCGTAGTTCCTGAAGATTTGCAGCTTCGGTAGTTTTTCCTTTAACCCTTTCTCGTGGTTGGTGGCCGGCGCCTGCGTCAAGGTTTGATCTTTTGCGCGTTTGATGCCATTGGGTTCTGGAAAGTGTTCCGGTTCCGTGCTCATGGTTTGAGATTTAGGGGTGTGGGTTGTCCGTTTAATTTGATGCAGTCTAATATGAGATGTTTTTTTAGGCTGATTCATATGTGTGCTCTATTTAGCATAGTAGATAAGGAAAATTGTAAGTTGCCCCATAGACACGTGATGTTGAGGTTGGAAAGTAAATCTCTTGTGCGGCTATACCTTGTAGAGTGGTGTCGCCAAACCATTTAAATGTCCTCCCTTGCATTTAGTATCACCTGATGTGGAAAAGTCACAATAACTGAACATACCTAATTAGTTGTTCATGTCACGTCGGCACATGGCGTCTCCGTTACATGACGATGTTCCTCGTTGTCGAGGATTAAAACATTTTATTGAATGTCTCAGTGATTTCCACCCATGGGACTTCTTTGGAGTTATGTTTAGGAGAATCATGGATATGTCTCTTGAGAGAAGAGCAGGTGCTTTTCTCATGGAAAACGAAGTCTATGATGTTGTAGAACCACGTAATTGAACACGCGGCGCCAGTGAGCTGCTTGGTATAGTTGTTCATAGCTACACTGCAATTTGGTGTCCAAACAACGGGATGGTGGATGATTGCTTTCAGTTGCTTTAACACGAGATAGTGTCTTGCTTAGTATCTAGAGCTCTTTGCCTTAAGCCACGAAAGTTTTGGGAATCATCGTTTTGCTGCTCTGATCTTAGTACTTCTGCTGGCCCATCCTCCCACTGAATTCTAATTTGAGGAAGTTAAGTTCATTGGTGATCGAGTGTAGAATTGGGTGATTTCAATCGAATGGACAGCTGGTCTTAGGTGCTACACAAAAATGGCATGTTTTTATATATATCGACTGATTCAAATTCATCATGGTTAATTAAAAGTTCTGATTTCAAAATATGATGTGTTGTTTACTTTCTTAAAACATGAGTTTGGTCCAATAGTGGCCAAATATAAATAGTTGTACTAATAGGAAAAATGATAATTATGAAAATCTCCCTGGGGACATGATCATCTTTTCTTTTCTCTTGTAACGTCCGATGGCCCATATAACGTAATTTTCTGCAGGATGTTTTATGGGCCAGGGGGTCCTTATGCTCTATTTGCTGGGAAGGATGCAAGCAGAGCTCTTGCAAAGATGTCATTTGAAGAGAAAGATCTGACTGGGGATATATCTGGTCTTGGCCCATTTGAACTCGATGCTTTGCAGGACTGGGAGTACAAGTTCATGAGCAAGTATGTTAAGGTTGGAACCATCAAAACCATCCCAGCGGCGGAAGGAGCATCCACTGCTGAATCTGCAGAAGTGGCTGATAAAGATGTGCCTAAGACGAGCGAAGATGGCCCATCAGAGAGCACTGAGGCTAAAACTGAAGAAACCCCTTCATCAGTCAAACCTGAGGATGCTGAATGAACGAGGCTTGGGGAGTACTGTTGTCTGCGTGCTTCTCAGTTATCACACCCATATTCCAAAAATAACTTACTGTTATGAGGCCTTGAACACTGTACGCCGATTCTCATGGATATTTAGTTCTTCAAATAATGTATTTGGCACCCAATGAACTTAGGTATGTCGGATTTTGGAGCTGCGACTTGTATTATGCCTTGTGGCGGTGTGATAATGTACACTGTAAATGAGGATCTTAGAATATATTTTCTCCTTAAGAATGGTACAGGCGCATGACAGGAGCGGATATGGTCGATCAATGCAGGTTTCACCTGAACGGCAATGGACTCCATGAGGTCCTGCAGTATACTAGTGTCATGTGTCTGAAGTTTTCTGGTGCATTTTGTTGCGAGTATCTAACTCTTAGGTTCAAGAACTTGTCGGTTCATAGTACGGTATGGGAGGGTCCATTTTGGATTGGTTTGCGGTGAGTCAGGAGGAAAGCCATGGAAGTATGTCTCAGCATTTTGCATCTTATTGGTGCACACGGCACATATGCTATTTTTCTGGTTGTTCATGTTCTTTGGATGGGACAAGAAGGATGTACAAGGATATGGTAGGGAGTGCGCGCTACGGCCAGAGGAGTTGGGTGAAAAAGAAAGAGAAGAGGAATTGGGTGATAAAAAGAAAGAGAATCATAATACGTATACATTGGTTTTAGTATTTTGGATGGATATTCAGTTCTAAGATTGAGTAGGCAAATTTCTTTTTTGCCATAGCTATCATTTTAGAAAGTATAAATCCAGATTTTCTCAAGGAAAAGAATGGCCTTCTGTACTGGGACTGTAGTTTGATAGAAACACCTACAGCGTCAAATCCAGATTTTCTCAAGGAAAAGAATGGCCTTCTGTACTGGGACTGAAGTTTGATAGAAACACCTACAGCGTCTGGTGTGTTAAAGGCAACGTATAACGCGTCGCCTAAAATTCCAGCCTCCTGTTGTACTGCCACTTGCAAGTATACTTGTATTCAGCGGAGGCCCACTTCGAACTAAAGAGCCGGTTTACCGTGATCGTCGTTCGACACGTTCGTCACGTTTTTAGACTACGCTTGATCAGGAGATAGTTTATCAGCTGTGGTTAACCAACTTGACAAATACTTAGAACGGGATTAAATTGGATCAACAGGTACGATGGTAGATATGTCATCATTTTAATCAAACCGCGCGATGAAGACAATTGTATATCATAAATTCCGCCCATGTTGAAGCCTGACATTACAGGCCGGTTGAAAATGACCTCATTGACTACAACTGCAACTTGTAACCAAGAAGAATTTTAAAGGGTTTGGTCTACCAAAGAGGTGTTGTTTTGGCATTTCTGGTCGTAGGCATCGAAAGCGAATTGGAATTGGCATCTGATTTACATGTTTTATGCACTGCTTGGAAGATGTTATCCGGACAACACAACGAAACAATCCAAAACCACCGAATTCGTCCACAGACCACGCCTCGCTATACCCAGGGTACTTTCTTATTTCTCTCTTGGAGCCACTTCATATGCTGCTTTTCGTGCAGTATTTTGGTTCTCGTAAATCATATAATACTAGGAGGGTGATCCCGCCGATGTTGTCGGCGTGGCGTGGCTGGCATGGGACCACAAGGCTATATCGCTTTCATAGGTTGGCAGTGATTGAGCGAATGTGACATCATGTCAGTCTTCGCAGAGTGCATAGAGGTATGCAGTAATTGTCCGGGTCCCTTTAAAATTGATTCTTGAATAAAACTGCCTCGCCACTGACTTCCAATTAGTCAGTCTTTTAGTGTCTTTGTGAAGTTACACTGATATTATCGCACTTCGGCGCTGTGATAGGATAAGTCGATCCTATCAGACGGCAAATTCTCAAATGGCACGTCTCAAACGGCATGTTTCGATAGGAGCTCTCGGGTGAATTGGCTGTGATGGGGCATGTGGAAGAAACTGAATTGACAAGGTTCCTCTCAATGAAGGAGACAAGAGAATGACATGGTACAAGCGTGAACTACATCTTTTAGGGCATAATACTGACAAGAGCCATAGGGTACTATCACAGATCAACTTAGGTAAGGACAACTTTAGCAACAGGACATGAATGGTGCATCTTAACCTTGATGGTCAAGCCCACATCTTGTTATATGTCACTAATGGGCTTGTTTTATTGCCCGTTGTGATCATGATTATTTTGAAAGAGAGAGCACACGTTGAATTTTTTGGTCCCAAGGTACTTGAATTATGATTGAATGCAAAAGTCTTGTCTGTCCTGTTACAGATCCTCTATAAGTGTCCTCATCCGCCAGTCTGAAACCCAGTTTCTTCCTTGCTTCAGGTTTCTCTGCTAATACAGATTCCTTACCCATGAGAATTCATACTGCTTCACTTCTCTTCACAGTGATTGTTATGGCAACCATTCACGTCTCTAGCTCCAGACAACCTCTTGGGTTTACGTATGCAGAGTACATCCCTGTCTCTGATTTAGGAACCACGTCGTCTTCTCCAGGATCAGAGCATTTTCTTACCGCCAGTCCTCCCATTTCGATGTCTGAGAGCTCCAAGGAGAATCAGATATGTGTTTCCCATCAAGTTGTTCCAAGTGGACCAAACCCACTTCACAACTGATTGAATTCTCTCTCTCTCTCTCTTATTGGGCAGTGGTGGATTGGTATTGAGCTGAGGGATACTTTTGGTTCTCTCACTGAACAAGGAAAAGAAGAATCCTTTCTGAGATCTATGCATTATGTGAGCTAATTTTCTAGCCACCTTGTTCTTGGAAGAACCAAGTGGTAGCCGTGATTGAAGCTTCAAGCTCCAGGATATATGCGGATAAGTGATGTACTATTTCAATTGCAGATTGTAAGAAAGGAACTGTGTTATCAATCACAGTTCATGTTGCTGAGATGCTCATTCACTCAGCTCGGTATTGGCAAATTAATAGTGTCGGTTTTCCTTCCCATATGAGATTATACTAAAGAGTCAATTTCAGTTTCTCTGAGACAACACAATATTGGATTAGATAGCAGATGTTTGTAAATTATGGAGGGTTGACACTCTTCAGTTTGACTGATCGTGTGGAGTTTTACTTTATACTGATCCCAAGATCATATGTGTTACTCCTATGTTAGGGAAAGACAGGAATCTCAGAACTGGAAATAGCCTTCTGGTTAGTGTAGCAACCGCTAGATTTCAAATTGCTGCCAAAAGATGGAAAAGAAAAGAAGAGGCAGTTCCTTGAAGCCTTGTATCAATTTTGTGGATGTTTTGACATAACCTCCCTTCACATTCGTGATGTCTGATGTCGATTAATTTTGCATATCCAATCGGTCTTTCTATCAGTATATGATGCACGATCTTTGTTTTCTTTTTTTCTTTATATATGATGCATGATCTTTAAGTGGTGATAAATTGTCTTTCTGTTTCAAAAACAGAGAATGAATCAAGGATGAGCAAGAAGATACAAGGCATGCATCACAAGCTAGATCCAATTTGTTTATAATACAACCTTGGGCTATTAGAAGTTAGAAATTCTTTTAATCTAGGCATCAAAAAGATGTCAAACAGAATAGTTTGACTTTAGTAGGTGATATTGAAAGAATCCCAGGCTTTTAAGTCGAGACAAAACGAGGGGAAATGTGGACTCTGATCATGGTTGCAAGATGAATGTAGAAACAGAAGCATAAAACAGAGAATTTAGCAGAAATGAAGAAGCTGGGATCTGCTTTATTGTTATTAGAATGGAGAAGTTGGTACTTCTCAGTACATCATCTCCTCTTTGCAAGTCAACTTCCTTATTTTTATTCAGCCGATGATGAATGCATATTTTAGGACCACCGAAGTTTAAGGATCAATTATTTTCTCATACATCATACAAACTCCCAAATATTATAGCAGAAGTCAGAATGGACGATCGACGTTTGCACACTTCTCTCATCTGATTTGTACGCTTCAACAGAATCATGACTCGCCAGGTTTTGCTCGGTCAACAGTTAAAGTATACATCAGAGCAACAAATACTCGAGCAGTGAATTTCCGAGCACGATGATTGACAAGAAGCAGTGATAATATTTGGTCATACGCCCGATTTCATCTCATTTATATCCTAATCTAACAAACAAGCCACGCACGGTGATGGCATTCTTTCTGACTTTGTGGATTTAATTATCCAAGAGATTTGTCAACTGTTCATTCTTTATTTCTAAAAGTACTTCTCACATGCATCATTCTCCTCTGGTAGCCCCCGCATGCTCGGAAGCATTGTCAAAAGTCATCATAAATTCAGAATAGGAATATCTCTCGGGTATACTTTGCATTATATATGCAGAAATCAAGGCATGAGTTTCAAAATGTTAGAAAATGGGCTCATCGAACCAAACAAGCAAACGAGAAAAAGAGTCACTTTACAAAACTTTCTTGCCAAATGTTACATCCTACTAGGACAGACAACCTGCTATTCTTGACAATTTGATATGCACTCCTCTTTGTCTTGATGGTTTGAAAAGCTCAGATTTTGTTGCTGATTTGAAAAGCATGCCATTGTCTTTAGTTGGACCTAGCAGCAGAGTTTCTGAAACGAAGTTTGTGTCCTACGTGTGTCGTAAGTATGCGAACTGACAAATGTCTTGGACGAAGTTCACACAGGACATGGCGTCAGATCAGACGGCTCGAGAAGTCGGTGAAGATCCGGGAATTAGGTAGAATGGTACTGCCTGCTGTATATGAAGGGCCTGCAATTTTCTTTTTCTTTTTATTTTACGGAAAGCGACCACTCGAAAGTCAACTTATATAGTTTTCTAGAGGCATGCGATTTGCTAACATGAAAGAAAGTCTTAGCATCGTGTAGTTTAACTCAGAGAAAGGAGTTTGAATTAGTCTTTCAACAATATTAAATCTGATACTCTGTATAGTGCTCATAGCTAGGTTGGTCCCTTCTTCTTGTTGGTGCTGAGCCATCTTTGATCACCATCTCTCAATACTCACAAAATTCATTATTAATTACAACTCAGATTTCTCTGCACTATATAACTCAACCGAGGCTGGTCCATTATACATAGACTAGACTCTTGAAGCTGCCAAAGCATTCAAAACTCTACCAACTTATCATTCAACCAGTATACTATTTCCGGGTCTTTTCCCACCTTGAGAACATGAAAGCTCACAAGTCTCATCTTCTGCTTGTCATGATCTTCATGATATCAGCTCTGTTCCAAGTCACCAGTGGCCGTCAGATCAATGAAGGCACCGATGGAGTGAGCAAACAAAGATTATGGGCCAAGTATTCTCCTATCTTCTTCCAGAGCATCTCTTCGTTTCGCAAATCTGCCAAATCCGGGGGTGAGAAACATGGCTCGATGCACGTGGTATCACGCAGACTTGTCCCGTGTGGACCCAATCCACTTCATAACTGATTTGATTGTGCAGAGTGTCATCTGATCCCTGTTCTTCCATTTTCTTTATAAAAAGCGAGTCTGTACAGAGGTTAAAAGGATCTTTCGACTTTTGTCTGGTGAGATACTGTGTCCAAAGAGGAAGGGAGGGGGATTATTAGCTACTGTTTGAGCGAGCCTTAAAGAGAGTATTACCGAAAAGGTTTGTTTCAATCTATATTTCATCTGCATGTGTACTCAGTTTGAGAAGTGAAACTGCCCTTTATGGGAACATGAACACTCGATAAATGATAACAGAGTTGTCATTAGAATACCGCAGCTAATCAGATGGATGGATGATTCGAAAGGGACGCATCCTGCAATTCGCTTCTGCGAAGCAATCCCAGTAAAAGGATTCGCACGAGCAGTGATGACAGGCATGCCCAAAAGATCGAGACTGCACGTTCGAAAGAGCTTTTACATTAGCAGCCTGGAGTAATAGGAAAATTTTTTCAGCATGAATCTAATGTGAAAAAGAAAAAGATTGCTCAGCAGATATTGAGACTCAAGATGTTATCTATTGTCCATGCAGTTCTAGCTATTAGCCCTGTGTATTATCCATGGACAACTGATCTTTGTCAGAATGGAGTGTGGTAGAAGAGACTAATTCTGTCAATGGTTCAGAGGAAGTGTCCATAGGGAAATTGATCTGAATCTCGAGCACTAGAGAAACACATGTTTTCAGCGACGAATTTGGCTTGAATCGGCTTTATCTGGACTAACTTTGGATTAGAACACAATCTTATATCTCAAATTCCATCCGTTTTCTCATTCATATTAGTTGAGATTGATGGACTAATGAATGTGGAAACTGTCACTTACCGCGAAAACTTATAGATTTTCTTGGACCCTAACAAGTACAAGTCCACAAGTAATTAGGATAATAGCAAACATGAATGCCCTGATCATTTTGCTTATGCCAAAGACTATAGGTTACTGAAGAAAGATAGCTAATTCCATTTCAAATGCAGGAGAATGTTTAGGGCCAGTGAAATTGTCACCAGCCCAGCACAGATGAGGCCCATTGGGCCGGACCCAGCTCAACCTAAACTTCATTTAGGTGGGCGGGCTTGGACAAGCGACAATCCTCAACACTCGACCTGCCCAAACTCGACTCATTTGTTACGATATTATTTTGGGTCAAGCGCAGTTTATTATCAACCAAAAAAAAAGTACAGTTTATTCCACTGAGTTTAAGTGTATATGCAATTTGGTCTTCTTAACTTTTTGTTTTATGCAATCGAGTCCCTCCATCGTTCTCTATTTGTGCGATTTGGTACTCTGAGTTTTGTTTCGTTCATTCAAGTCCTCTGAGGTTCTTTATTTGTGCAGTCAAGTGCTTCATTTACCCGCGATATCTAACATTGTCATATTAGGGTTTCCATTTTTTCTTTCTTTTTTCATAGTTAGTTTTTCGCTAATTTGGCGCCACCTTAGCATTGCAGGACATTTTATACCACAACGACAATGCTACATCACTAAGTACAACAAGAGAAGAACGATTCGCTCAACCGTGTTCTTCTCACGTCGCGGATCGGTACGGGCCCTAACCTTTTAGGGCTCGGTCCCCACTCCGTCCCGACCCCGAACCAACGCCTTAGGAAACCTCAAAACAAGGTTCACGAGGCCCGACCTGAGAGCTCGGGTCATGGACCGGTGTAACCAGAACCCGCATAGAGGCCCATACATAGAGGCCCATACCCAAGTAAAACTCCCAGGCCCAGGCCCAAGCCCAAGCCCAGTAGGCCCTCATCATTTTTGTCCGAAGAGCGAGCACGCACGCCCGCACGCACACGCAACCTCGTAGTCCCCACTCACAGGAGTGTCCAGTTGCTGCCCGTAACCAAGGCCATTGGGGGATGGGCGCCGGGGGCACATCTGGAAAATCACCCACCGAGCATCGCCCCCGGCGAAATGCCGAATCTACCCCGCCGTATCCAACCCAAAATCTCCTCCCGGTCTTCCCGTGCTCGCGCGAGCCACAACTTCTGGGGTCGAGCTTCTTCCTCCCGCTTTTGACTCCCAATCCGACGAGGAAAACAGAGGCGAGCGCACGCGGAGCATGCGGCCGTCAATGGCCACGATGACGATGTCGTCGCCGTCGTCGCAGGAGGCGCGGGATTCGAGGAGGGTCGTCCGTCGTGATATCCGCGGACGGAGGAGGACAGAAGTGTCCAGGGAGGGGGAAGTAAAGCGGCAGTAGAGCGGGCGTAACGGACCCCCCCCCATTCCATCTCATTTCGACGTCAAAAGATCAAAAGGGAAGAGTTAGAGCTTCGCTTCTCGATTGGCAGCAAATCCGAGTTCGGCAACACGTGGTCCTCTAATTTACCCTTTTGCCCCTCCCCCTCCTCCCCTATAACGCCCTCTTGCATATGCTCTCTCTCTCTCTCTCTCGCTCGCTCTCGCTTTCGTGCGGTCTCTTCATTTACTCCAACGTGCGCAGAGAGAGAGAGAGTGAGAGGTGGTGTGGTGGGGGGAAGTGATTTTACGGGAGTGGGTCGAGGGCCGGTGATCGGCGCCGGAGAGGGCCGGGGCTCCGGGGGGGGAGGGGAAATGGCGGACGACGGCTCCGACGAGTGGCACCCCGCGGGCTGGACTGTGGATGTCAGAGTGAAGCGGAGCGGCCGAAAGGATAGGGTAAGGCTTGATTTTGTTTCAGCTTCTCGGAGGGAACGGGGAGAAAAGCTTCGGTTTTGCGTCCTCTTGTCTATTAATTCGTTCCGCTGCGGATGGATATGCTCCGTCGGGTGTCTTTACCTTTGTGCTCTGGTGCTCGTTAGCCCGGGAGGTTTTTCCTGTTAGTTCGGGGTGGCTTTCAATTTTGCAATTTGAGGTTGCTGTTAGCTGCTTGCTTTTGGTTAAGCTATGTCGCGGGCTGGCCATTGAAATTGGCATTGTTGACGTGGGTTTTGGAGGTACTTGTTCATTAGATTGCATATGCTGCGGTTGGGGCACCGAGGGAGATGGCCGGGTCTTTCTCATGATCGTCCGAAGTGTCGGGTTGCATGCAGTGTTCAGGGCTTTGTGGTAAAAAAAAGAAAGGAAAAGGGTGATAGGTCGATAGCTTTCGATGTCTCCGTTTGTTAGTTGGAAATTAGTTACTGGTGTTTGGATGGAGGGAATCGTGGGGAATAGAAGGGGGAAATAGTAAGATGCCTTTTGGCGGGATGGCGGTTTCGTAGCAAGAAAGCGGGAAGTTTGGGTAAGTAAAAGGAAAGGAGTTGATCTTCCTCATAATTAGTTCCACGATTCTTTCCTAAAGTGACGGGTTATGAACGGAAACGGAAATCTAACTCCCTCGAAGCGTAAACTGGCATCTAAAGATATCGAAGCCAAAACCGCTCATTTCAAGAGCACGGCTTGATACTGGTCAGTTCATTTCTGTTTCTTTAGATGCCAGTTTATGCTTCGATGGTGTTAGATTTCCGTTTCCATTCATAGTCCCATCACGTTTGGAAGGAACTATAGAACTAGTTTTGAGGCAGATCAAACTCCTTTCCTTATGGCTACCCCAACTTCCCGCTTTCTTGCTATGTTACCGCCATCCCGCCAAAAGCATCTTACTATTTCCCTTTCTCTTGATCTTGTTCTCTTCTTTCAAGGCCACCTTGTCCATACATAGTTGTAATCTTATTACCGATCAAGATATGCAGGTTTTCACTTCCATGCTCTTATATTAAGAGAACATCCATTTTCCTTTCCTCTGCCACTCGAACTCTGAAGGTTTTCAGGAACAAATGTGTATGTGATGTGACTGTGCTAGTTCAGTCTATGACAGCTTATATAACTTTCCTTTTTCTATTGAGTAAGGAAGGAGAGAGTGGATCATATTTGCTTCCTTCTCTTAGCTGATTTAATGAATTTCAGCGCAGAACCGAGATGAAAGCATTCTGTAATAAATGCATGTGCGGTAATCTGGGAATGGTTTGGCTTCAGTTTATTCCTGTGGTCATGAGATCTAATGTCTCAATTTATTTCCGAAATTTTTGGTAGTTGCGACTTTTACGGGGTTTCCATGTCCGTGCAGCTTTACACCTCTCCTGATGGAATCAGATTTTCTTCCAAGGTGGAGGTGTTGCGCCATCTGAAAACTGTACAACACAATTCTCCTCAATCGAAGGAGGAGAAAAATGTCCTCCTTGAGCAATCTGTGGGCAGTGCTTGTGATGGCATTGCACACATCAACTCCTTTCCATCAACAGAGGATAAAAAGGTCCACCCTGATCAATTTGACAAAAATTGCAATGATCACATTGTAGGAAACTGCACCCCTCCGTCCAAAGAGGAGCAAAAGATTGGCCTTGAGCATTCTTCAAAAGATTTTTCGTGCAATACTGTAGAGAGCGGCTCTCCTACTTTCAAAGGGGAGAAAATTGTTTGTGGCGGTGCTGTAGACAGCTGTACTCTTCTTCCCGTAGGACAGAAGGTTGATCTTGATCGACCGATGAAAATGGTTTGTAGTGAAAGTGCAGAAAACCACTCTACTTTAATCAGAGAGGAGGACAAGGGCAGCCATCAGCAGTCCCCAAAAGATGTTTTCAGTGACACTCCATGGATCAGCTCTTCTACTTTTGAAGAGGAGAAAATATTCAGCCTTGAGGAATCTGCAAAAGAAGCTCATGAAAACAAGATAGAAAGTGGCTCTCCCAATTTGAGGCAGAAGAACAAAGCGCGGCGTCAGCAGCCTACTGTAAATGTTCGTGAAAAAGTTGTTTCCATTGTCTTGTTTTGATGATTGTGCTGTATTATCGTCTTTCACTTCTAATTTAAGTTTTTGACGTTTCAAGCAATCTAGGTTGTAGTTGAAAAGGTTGTGGCAGAAGGGTTACCCGAGGGATGGACCAAAGAAATGAAAGTTAAAAGGAAGAATGGTACTGTCGTCAGGAGAGATCCGGTATTTGATCTCATCTCTTGTTGTGCTCATACTGAAGTGGTATCAATTTCCAATCTTTTGTATGTCGCTTCCATCAACTTTCATATTTTAAATTCAGTATTCTTCTACCATGGCTTTGCATCATAGCTTAATCTTCCTTTATGTCTAGCTCGGACTCGATGCAATCCAAGCGGGCAATGCATGAACTATCCTTCATGCTCTTATTTTATATATAAAACCATCTCAGATTTTTTTTGCGTTCCTAGACCCTGGAAATGGTTGTTTTTGAAGTGGCATCCAATTTCTGCAGTACTACACTGACCCTGTGAGTGGATATGTATTCCGTTCGATGAAAGATGTCCGTCGCTATCTTGAAACTGGGGACATTGGGAGGCTTGCATATAAGCCCCTAGACAAAGATGAGATTGATGCTGATTTAGAAGACAGCAAAATCACTGTGAGTGAGTATGAAGTTTTTGTTTTGCCATCAGTCAACTTCTAATTTCCCTTTACTTTACATGAATACCTCAGTTCTCCGATGGCACATCGTTTGTATGTGATCTACTCTATTGAGAAATCGTGATGTTGTCGCCCTTAATAGCTAAGATTTAGTGACTGCTGGTGAAACTCTTGGAGCACTTGTAAATATGGCAAGTTCAACGTAATCTGATTTACTATTTCCTACTCTAAGAGGCTATCACTACTAAAATCGTGGTGCATGTGTCTTTTTTCTTTTTTATGTGTCGGCTGATGGAATAGATTGAGATTAGACTTAAACAGAGAAATGTATCTTCATGGCATTGCTTCTTTGGGAATCCTGGCATTATGAGATATAGTGGTCATAAGGAGTAAGGATGACGTTATTACTGTACCTGCAGATGTGGATATCTATTGGAGATAGAGAATTTAAAGGGTATTGTACATGAAACCTATGTAACTGAAAATCCTGATAAATCTACCAGACTAGATGGGAAGCTTTGGGTTTAGTCTGGTTTGGGTCGAGGTCCAGTTCAGGTCCGTCGAGTGTATTTGGGTTTGGGTTGGTTTCTAAATATGTTGTTTGTCACATAACCATACATTTTAAAGCAGAAAATAAGGATGACGAGAAGAAATAAAGAGTTATAATTGAGGAACCAACTGAGACTGGCTGGATCGATCTGTTGTCCAGTCCAGGTTGGTTGGATTGATTTCTTTCTTTCAAACTGCTGTCGATACTATGGTTGTTAGTTTTGTTCGATTTGATATTTTACCAATTGAATCCCTTAAAGGAACAAAGAACGAATTCAAGTCTAACGTCAATTGATCAAAAGGATGTGAATCTTACTATCGAGTTCAACATGTTTTTGACAGATCCATGGAGCACCTGATTTGACCAAAAGATGGAAATGGAAAGAAATGTCTCGTAATTGTTCATACATAGACTGTCACTTAATCATCTATATGCTTTCAAAACCCTACCTTAGTACCTTCGTCCTCATATTTCAAACGAATTATTCTACTCACAGGTGTGAAAGTTATCCTGGGAACATATTTAGACGAGTGGTGTTGAGTTGATGACCATGACCTATGGTTCTTTCATTTAGCTCTAAAGGTGTATTGCATGCTTATCTTGACAGTGTGGATGCCTTAATTCTTAGCCTTGCATATTGTTTTTACTCTGCTTTACAGAGATTAGTTCTTGTTGTTAGGTTGCAAGTTGAAATCTCATTCAGATTTTTGTAAGATTTGGACTTATCTGTCGTATTGTCTTTTCGTTCTGCCTTAGTCACCTGTTGTTACCAAGAAGCAGAAATTATCGGTTTCTGAAACTGAAAGTACAGATGATCAGGGATCACGACAGAGTGAACATGCGACAGATAAACATATGTCTATATCTGACCAACCTGAAGAAGTCGTGCCCGTACCTGGATGTAAGCCTAATCACCATTGTACTTGAAGCATCTTCTTCCCTATCTTTATATGTTATAAACAAGGCGACCTAATTATGATCTTGCAGCTTGTGGAATCTCTGTAGATGCAGTGGGCAGGGAGGGAACTAATTTTGGCAGCTCAAGACTTGCAGATGCTGAAGGTCTAGAGCAGAATCAAGAGAAGAGCAACTGCAGTGAAAAGGATCTTCCAGTTCCCGAAGGCAGAGCCCTCTCTGAGGAGCATTCGCCGCATACGGTGGTGGCAGAAGGAAACAAAGAGACTGAAGTTTCCATCCAAAAATCCCGGAAGAAGAAGAAAGAGATTGATGTGCCTCGGCGAGCTTCAAAACGACTTGCTGGAATTGCTGTTGATCCCACAGTGGAAATAACAACAGTTCGAGCAAATAGAGGCCCAGCAAAGCATGTCAATCAGGAAGAAGCTAGTCAGGCTAAAGATACCACAAGTGGTAGTGCTGTTGCTCCGGAATCCCAAAGTATGGATCAACTTGGGCTGCAACGAGACACAAAATGCACTGGCAAAGCGGAGGAAGCTGAAGATCCTTCCAAGCTGGTGGCTGCTTGCAAAGAAGATCCTGAAGACTCGGAAGGAAACAAGGAAGACGATAAAAAGAAGCAAGGAGGCACAAAACCATCACAACAGGAGAGCTTATCTATTGCAAGTGAACATCCTGGAAATGTTGAATCTATACATAAATCTGAAGAGAGCCCAGTACTGCCTTTTGATCTGCCTTCTCAGGATATACTTTCTGATCCATGCATTGAGTTTGCTATAAAAACCCTCACTGGTATAAGTTTCGATACTTCCACCGAGAATGCACTTGAATTCAGCAATAGCAGGAACTCTTTCGGGGACTTGGTTCACTCAAATGTGCATGGTGAAAACATGGAAACTGAGAAAGAGGACAACGAAAAGCAGGGGTGTGGTGCTGTTCTGCCACTTCAGAAACTAGCTCAGCCAGAAAAACATGCGGGGAAAGTTAGTGCTGTAGAAACTGCTGGTGATGTGCCAGGCTCCTCTCTGAACTTACCTTTCGGGGATTCATGGGAGGATCCGTGCATTGAGTTCGCAATAAAAACTCTCACTGGTGCGATTCCTGTGGAATATGGTTTGGACGTACATGACCTGATCCAGCAACAGATGCGTTCATCACAAATGCAAGAAGCTAGTGACTTGAATTTGTCCAATGCTGGTCTAGATAACTTTTGTCGGACTGATTTGTTGTGGCAGCATTCTGATACGGCAGTTAAGCCCGTCTGTAGACCTCAAGCGGGGTTAGTGCCCGCGGCACCACATACCAGTAATGTTGATTTCCAAAGATCAAGTGGTAGTGTTCGACGCCAACACCGTCAGGACAGAAGCAACAAATGCCAGAGATAGGGCGAAACCGCTATCCCATTTTAATCAAATGAATCTGTACAGGTAGGAGAAACATTTAGAGCATTTAGAGCAGAAAGTTTCGAGCTTTGATTCACCGTGCTTTCCAAGCCAGAATAGTGAGCCTTTAGTTTGGGTTCATCATTTCTGTCCATCTTTTCTGGTGCAGGTCCATCATAAGCTCTCTTCCGGATGCAAATGCTTCCTGAAAGGAAAGTCTTTTGTATTGATTTCTCTAGTTAGTCTGACATGTCACCTTATTGTAATCTGTAATCTCGTGTCGCCATGGAACGGTGTACCGGGCGTTTCCCATTGTGGCTTTTTTTCCCGCAGTTGCTGCCCTCACAGATACACCTTTTGTTTGTTAAACCAATCATTATTCATTTAACTTAGCTTTGACTCATAGATAAGGAGGGTAGTGGGGGTTCTCCAAGAAGTGCCTGTTGTTGCTCCTTGAGGCATTTTGTTCGATAGGCTCATGGGGATGCTTGCTCTGTATTATGTCAATAGATTCTGGAAAATCCAAGGGGCCCCAAGTGGTAGCTTTTAGTTTCTTTAGTCCTCCAGCTGCTGGGTGCCCTTACCCCTTGGGAGATAAAGCTGTGGCTAAACTTGCAAGTGTACATCTGATTTAGTACAACTGTACCAGGTGCACTTTATTTTAAGCCATGGATGTCTAGTCAACTGCATTGCACCAAGGTGATGCTGTCTTCTCTCTTTTTAAGGCCGCCAAGGTTATTCCATCTTTGTTCTTCTTTTCAAAACGGCGACTCCTCACGAATCCAGTCTATTATTTCTCGTAGAAAATGACTATGGCAAGTCGTGATCCGCGTGCTGGCAGAGAAAATGTCACAGAAAATGTGGAAGTTCATTTGAGGAAGGAAGAGCCGCGGTCGTTGTCGTCTTTTGTTTAACCCGAAAATGTTCTGTTTGGCAAGTCAAGCGAATGTAAGGCAATGGCATTCGATTCCGATGCTGAAAATGGTCACCGAAAACGCTAGGGTTTTCTTTTGGTGTGTTCTGTGAATGTGCTTCGCATTTACTCCGATTGTTTTGATTTTGAAACAAGTTCGGTAACGAATTTCGGGTCATTTCTAGTTTATGACTTGAAACCGAATTGAACCGTCAGAAGCCCATTGTTTTTACTTGTCGCCTGAACCGAAAGGAAACCCGTTTAGAAAAGATCCGAAGTTTTTTTGTTCGGGTTAGATTGGTTCGATTTGAGCGGTTTTTCTTACAACCCATGAACTTACATACCAAATTAGGTGATGAGCGCCTTGCTGGCTTATTCATCAAGGTACACTAAAAAATAGCATCATGTAAAAACCTTCAAATAACTCGATATAAACTCTTCTCTCCGTTCGGACATCAACAGACTCCAAACTCTTATCAATTTCAACAAACGTGTCAGTTTTAATTAAGATTTGAATGGAGAGGTTATGACAGCTTATAAGAAATTAAAAGTTGACGATTTCAAAACGAAGTAATCAATTCCAAGTGCGATTTTACTGGAGATATAGTTTTGGGTCGGAAATTTAACTGGACACAAAAAGAACAAGAAAATCGAAATTCCAATTAAATTTGGCGGGGACCCAAAATAAAAAAGAAAAAAGAAAAACCCCTTCATTTCCAGTTCGCGCGCTCTTCCGATTGAACAAAGCAAGTTCCTTCGCAAATCTTCTACAAGCTTCGCAATCGTCTCTCTCTCTCGCTCTCTCGGAGATTTCTCCATCGGAATCAACCTCCGTCGACGGCGGAAACCTCCGCATCTCCGCCTCCTCCGGCGCCGCCTCACCGGGTCCGATCTCTTCACAGGTCCTTTCTCAACCCTAAGCAACCGAGCGGCTGTACTCGCGAGCAAGAAAAATCGTTTCTTTCTCGCTTTCTCATGATTCTCTTCTCGTTTTTATTTTTTCAATTTTCGTACGCTATAATGGTGGGGGATGTTCTACTTGTTGCTCCTCGAGCTCGCAATGTTTGTCGAAGATCCGAGAATCAAAGCTGGGGTTTTTGTATTGGCGGGTGGGCATTGATTAGGAGTATTTCGTTTTGGTATTGCAGATTTTTTGAACTAGTGTAATTGAATGAGATTGCTGTATGCTTTATTAGACTCGGAAAATCCCGAGGTATCGTGTCGTGGAGCAGGTAGGTGACGTCGAACGAGCTTGGTGTCGGTCTATCTTGGTGGCTTGTTATTGCCTGCAGGTGTGATCTCTCCGGTACCGGCAAATGTTTGCTTTGCTATTGCGGGCGGTGGATAATGCTCTCGGTCCATTAGATTCTGGAATGTCTGCTTCATTATAGAGCTGATCCCAAGCATTTCTGATGTTTGCAGGGAGGATACGACACCAATGCAGATTCAATTGAAGTGTGGTTGTGGGGATGGAAGCTGCCCTGAGTGGGCCGTCGTCGAATTGCAAGGCGTGGTTGAAGTTCAGCCTTCGTTCCAAGATCAGCTGCAAAACCTTGAAATTGGAAAGCTTTGTCGTCCTTCGTCGCAGGTTCGTGTAAATGTCATCTCTATCGAAGTGTCTTAGGGATGGTTGCTTGTTGTGTCGAGAAATAGGCTTTGCTTATTTCTATCCGAGGATGTAGTACCCAACACCCACCTCCCCCTCCCAAAAAGAAAAAATGCTTTTTTTATTTGTATGTAGCTCTATTTCCTTAAGTACTTTCTAGCTCCGCCTGGACTTGCTTTTACTTCTGGCTGTTGTAACAGAGTAACTGGAAAATTATCTGTGGCTTTTCAGTTTGTTTTCAAGATTTCAGTCCTCTTCTGATTCTTTTGTCTTGACATACCAAAATTTAAGCTTGTTATATTGGGGTTTCTGTTCAGGAAGTCTACACTTTTACTGTTGGCTATCATGAATTAACGGGCTCAAAAGTGCCGCTGAAGAAACCATTTCTGGTATTGAAGAAAGTAAAACTTGTGGATGCGGAGCAAAGCTCTAATACTGATTCAGCCGATTCACCGAAGGTTGAGCTAGAAGTTGTTGGCATTATCAGGCATCGGATATTGTTCAAGACCAGGCCAAAGGCCCTCATTTCCCGTAAGCACTTCTATGCTGCTACTTTTAGTGATGAAATTGATAGTGAGGCTCTTTCTTTGGACTGAAGTGCCTGTTGAATTGGGATTGAGATTGCTTGTGACTTTGCTTTGTGGGACATATGATAGTCTTAGATTTCGCTTTTAACTTTGTAAAACCTAGAAGGGATTCCTTTTAAGCTCTTAGCGTTATGTGCTTCTTAGTTGGTTCTTCTTCTTTGACCCTGGAGCTGGCTGTGCTTATGCGGTTGAAAACAATCGGCTCTTAAGGATGGCAAGCTGTTTGGCACAATTGAGCTCTTCCCATCCTTGAGTTCTGGACTAAATCACTCGCTTGCATGTTTGCCGACAGAATTTTATTTCTTGTGCCATCTGTATATCCAGATTGCATACCGCCGTTCTCTGAATATATGAATGGTTGAAGAACCCACGTTATCTGTCCCATCATCTTAGTTCTCTGTGTCTGTACTGTGCAGTTTCTTATTACCTCCTCTTTGCCTCTTTCCTGCTTAAAGTTGGGTTATTTAGTTTATCCTATTTGTTTCATCCTTTCCTGGTGGGTCAATTGTATGTTGCACAGTTAGGATAGTTCTTAATACTGACTTTTTCCGTCTGATGATGTTGTTTCCCGACTCTCATTCTCCCTCAGGACCAGAACCGGTTGTCAAGGAAAGAGCACGTGCATCAGGTTCAGTTGCGTCAAACTAATCTCAATAATATGAGCAAGACTGTTGGAGGACCTGGAGTTGGTACTTTATAGACGAGGACTTTCCAGACTAATTATGGCATCAAATCAATCCTCCCATTAGTTGCCTAATCTGTTCTATGCAGAAGTTACCTAAGTCTTCTGGAATGTGGAAACTCTGAAACCCCTCGAGGTTTGACTGAAATCTGCCCTAGTTCTACAGCAGGAGAATAGTAGTTTGGTTGCCTTTCTACTTGTACTTGTGTTTATGTATGTGCTCTACTTAAGATATGATCTATGTAAGTTCTAGCTCTTCCATGGTTGAAATAACGAACTTTGGCACTTCTGGCTTCGTTGAAAGCTCTACTGGCCACTGAATTCATTTTGCTGGCTGATATATTCTCGTTTTTCATCTGTGCTTGTGTTGATTCTGTGTTCTTCCTCTCTCTTTTTTCCCTCGTCCTCCCAATCCGTTAGACTTGTCAGATACTCCAGAGCATAAGAGCTATGGTCTTCCTTTCTGTGTACTGTATGCAAACTGAAATTAGGCATGTGATTCAGAATCATTTGATGATAAATGCAACATGTAAAGTCTTTCAGTCCAATCTTTTTAAGTATAAGAGAGCAAAGATACCGTAAGTAAACCTGATTCTAGAGACATGAACGCCAAATTATGATCAACCGAAAGGGGACTATCATCCTCGCAACATAAAGTGAGGACATCATCGATCTAGCAGAGCGAGTGCGACCCCTTCTTGCCATACATCATTCCTTACTGTCATATTTTGTCATGCCGAGTTGTTCACGCATCACTCGGTAAGAACTGTTGCATTGCTGTGATGTTAGCTGTACTTGAGTGATGATCCCATTCTCATCCCCTTCTGACTGGTGAACACAGAGACTAGAAGGCCCGAACCATGTTTCCTAGGCTATATACGGAGCTCATCTTCGTGTGCCCAAAAAGAAAAGTTGTCGGCTCTATTCTAACTCGGAATTATTCTTCTAGATTTCAACATCAGTGTCTAGGGGTGATTGGTTCTTGGGTGGGTGACCCACCCACCGAGAACCGGAGCAAAAGGGTCGGTTCCCAATTTGTGGAATTGAGAACCGGCCCACTTGGTCCAAGAACGAGCGATTATATATATATATATATATATATATATATCTATTTTTCTTATTCCCTGCAAGACTGCAAATGTTGTTGCATAGTCTAAACTCTCATTCTTTAGTGTTTTTGATCTTTAATCAATGAAAATCTTGGTGGAAAGACATTAAATGTGTAATAAATATAATCAAGTATCATTAACTTGCTAAAAAAAGTGTATCGATCTGATTGATTCGTTCAGTTCCACCATGAAAGGGGCTATGTTCTAAACAAGAAGTTAGCAAATGCAGATATTCAATCGTCTTGCGGTGCCTTCCATAGGCCTTAATCGACTCTTAATATTAAGCTAAATCCTCATTCCGAACATAAGGCCTTTTGGCCTCAGTTTCTGATGTACAAGATCCTCATAGAGGTGAGTGCATAGCATACTATCAGGATTATATGCTATCTTACCATTTTAAGATCTTTAATACCAAATAAAAATTTGAAGAGAAAAACGAAGAAATAGCTTTACATAGTTTAAGTTTACAAACACTGGAGGCTAGTTTGTCTCAAGATTAGATCACTGGTGACGTAGGCATATTAATGCCTAATAACAATATGTGGTTCACACCTATGACTTACATTTATTATAACATCAACGAAACTCATCCCAAATATTTATCATGACGCAACTCATCAACGTGGCATTTATTACGTGACACTATTATGGGTTAATGTTAAGCCCCTGTGGAAGGGAGTCTCGTATCTCTTGGGAGAAGCCAACCCACTATTTATATAACCTCGAGGGCTGGCCTTCCACTATCATATGCATCTTTTGGTGAGGAGAACCTTAGTTGGTATTAGAGCCCTGATGAATGTTAAGCCCTAAGCTTCGGGCTTGCCCTCCTACTATCATATGCATATTTTGGCGAGGAGAACCTTAGTATCGAAAACCGAAATGATAATCACCAGTTCCAAATTTTAGGAATCGGGAATCGCCAAAACCGGTTGGTTCGATCCAATTCCAGTGCTCACCCCAATCAGTGTTTGTGGTTAATGTTATGGAGTTCTGAGTGCCCATTCCAATTCCAAAAGCGATTGGAGGGCAAGCCCGAGCTCCAAAAGGATATGCATATGATAGTAGGAGGGCAATTCCAAAAGGATATGCATATGATAGTAGGAGGGCAAGCCCGAGCTCCTTATATCATGAGCTATTCTAAAAGCGATTCATGCAATTTGGTTTAAAAGCAAATGTGATCCAAAAGACCAAAATGTGATTTAATTGATTATGCTCATGTCTTATTAAATGGATATTCTTCTTAGTACTTTATTAATTTGGTCTTGATATTTTTTACGGTATGGAACGTTAGGATGGAACGTCGTAATACCTGTGAGAATTATGTGCTTGATTTGGTAGAAAAACTTTAAGTGAATGCTTTCTCGACATGACGTGAAATCATAAAAAAAAAACTTGTACGCGTGGTATGATACATTACTTTTTCATATTATAATTATATTAGTGAATGAAATTTAGATAAGTAAATTCTCGACAACATTTTTCTTTTTTTTTTTCTCTCTCTTTTTTCTCTTTGGTCTTCCACAATGGACCCGGTATTTTTCGATAAAACAAGAAGCAATTTTGCTTTAAATTGCAAAAAACGGAAAAGAAAAGATCCCCAAGCACGCGAAGGCGGTCTTCTTCTTCTTCATCTTCTTCCTTCAGCTAGGGTTTCGCATCAGCTTCTTCCGGATCGCAGGTCGCGGACCGGCGGGGGGAAAGATTCAGGTAACCCCGATATCTGCATGTTCGAACGCGATTCGATTCGATTCGATGTCCGATTGGGTCGAAATCTGGAGTATCATGGATCCCGATAGCGTTGTGCACAGTTTGAGATAAGGGAAAAAGCATTTCCGACGCCGCCTCCGATGCATTCGTCTCCGCTTGTGGAATCTTAGCGCCCCGTGAGAAACGAAGAAAGTTTTGCTCGTAGCGGCGTTTCATTTCTCCGTCGATCATGAATTTGCGTAGTAATTTGCTGCTCGTATATCGTGGCTGCCTCGCAGCGTCGTAGGATCGTTAATCAGGCAATGAAATGGAGAATCGGTTATGGCGGATTATGATTGCTGAATTTTTTTTTAATTTTTTTTTTTTGTGTGTGATTTTGCTGTGGTATGTCAAGGTACCATCTCTCTCTCTCTCTCTCTCTCTCTCTCTGTTGGATTGCTGAAAGATTTTACGTTTTTTCTTGATTGTTGCAGAGGGAAGACGAGCTGGTGAAGGGATTCTGGATACTTCTGCGACCGAGAGGACCGGCAGTTTGGCGAGATGAAGTAATTATATCTCGTGCTGGATCTCTCAGTATATGATTTTTTTTTTTTGTCCAGCTTTGTTGTCAATTTCAAGGGCTTTAGTTGCAGATATAAAGGTCCGGTAATTGTCCATGATGAAGGATTGATATCAGTGAGATGTAAATTGTGTTCGTAACGCACGATGCGATAATGTCTTGACTTTAGCATGTTCCTATGTGATTATATAGCTTGCAAATATAGAAAAGATCTCTCTTTTTGATCATCTGAATTATGGGATGGACTAAATTCTGAATCAGCTGCGTCTTCCTAAGCACCTCTATTGCTATCCTAATTAACTTCTAGTTAAAGAGAACGTGAAATTAATATGCCATTCTAAGGCCGCTTTTCTCATAGATTAGGGTTGTTTTTTCCGATAGTCGGAACATTAATATGCATTATGTGCTACCGAGTATTGAGACGTTAATTGTCATCATGGCCGTTTAATTGTGCCGCAACACTTCAATGGACCGACATGTTTCAGTCTCAAACTGCTACACTGTAGTTTGGAATAGTTTCTCAGCTGGAATGATGAAAATTAGTATTCACTGATTTTGCTATTGAAGGATGGGGCCGCTTTTCTCATAGATTAGAGTTGTTTTTCTGATAGTCGGAACATTAATGTGCATTACGTGCTATCGAGTATTGAGACGTTAATTGTCATCATTGTCGTCACATAATCCTTTAATTGTACTGTAACACTTCAATGAACTAACATGTTTTAGTCTCAAACTGCTACACCGTAGTTTGGAGTAGTTTCTCAGCTGGAATGATGAAAATTAGTATTCACTAATTTTCCCATTGAAGGATGGGGCTGCTTTTCTCATGGTAGAGTTGTTTCTGATAGTCGGAACATGAATGTGCATTACGTTCTTCTGAGCATTGAGACGTTAATTGCCATCATGGTCATCACATAATCCTATAATTGCACTGCAACACTTCAATGGACTGACATGTTTCAGTCTTAAACTTCTACTCTGTAGTTTGGAATAGTTTCTCCGCAAAAATGATGAAAAATATTATTCACTAGCATTGCTATTGAAGGATGGGATCTGTAATTGCTTGTTAAATAGACTGGAATAAGTTTCCAGTAACAAAAAAAATTTTGGATTAAGAACCTGGTTGAAGGACCTGCTAGGAATCTCCAAGAGGAGTTCAGGTTAGGGGGATACTTGACAAATAGTTTCATTAGGATTTCTTGATCATTAACACGAACAAGCATTGTCTTGATGACAAGTTTTTCTTGTTGATATGCATTTAAAGTGATACAATTGGAAAGTGACGTATTTATTTTTACTGGACCTTTAATATGTTGGCACATTCTCATCTATAGTATGGCCATCAAGGATGTACTTATCTCAGCTTTTTTTCAGGGGTAAGAAGAGCCGTGTGAAGTGGGATGAGGATAATTTGGGTGAGATAGAAGCAAATAAACCCGTTAGGCAGAAAATTACAGAACCCAAGACGCCGTATCATCCCATGATTGATGATGATGGTAGGTTGTTATGTATCTCTGCTCCAATTGAAAGTCCCATGAACGGTTGAGTTGCTCTTCTTAGTTTGATAATAAGACAATGGATGGACCTTGATCTCCCTGCCTGATGATAATATGCCCTCAGAGCCGTAAAGAGATAAATTTTCTTGACATGTTTTTTTGAGGATTAAATCTCCACCGTGGTCTTAATATTTCTGTTACAACCGGTGCAGGATTCCGACTTACTCCCGCTTGAAAGTTGTTTTTTGTAGGTTCGCTATCTCCAATGCGGGGTCATTTTGATGAGTGTGTCGATGATCACGCAGAAGCTATACTTACTGCTCTAAATGACGTGGCTTCTTCAAGTACAAAAACTAATCAACGATCCGGTGGCTGGACATCATCTGAGGACGAGGGAGATGCTATGGAACCAGATGATGAAGGTTTGCAAATTTATCCATGGCTTCTAGATTTCCCACCTTGCCTTTTATAGAGCCGTCATGTCTTATAACTTGAGAAATATCTAATTACCTAAGAATTGCTGCGGGTATTTGGTTTTCTAGCATTAGGAGAATAATACATTCGGGAGTAAGTCGATGTGTTGTTAGATTCTATACCTCAATTGATTCTCGTTTCCCTTTCATTAGATTTCTTTCTTCTGTTCTCTTTGGGTTTGGGGTTGTGGTGGCTTGGAGACAGCACGAGATATTTTCCTTGACAACTTTAGTGACCTGTGGAGAAAAATTTGCATTATTAACGTGTTGTATTCTATCTCCTTTTGACTTGCTTTGCTTATGCTTTTCGTGGTGCTACTTTTTCTCCCTTCCATTGGGTCTCGACTATTTTCCGTCACGTGTTGCGCTCTTTTGTCGGAACTTGAATTACCTTTGTTCTCGGCTTTTGTTTGTTCAGATTCGGAAACTGACAAGAGCGGGATGACCTTCAGGGAGCACAGGCGGGCGCACTATGACGAGTTTTTGAAAGTGAGAGAACTCCGGAAGCAAGGCTCTTTGCTCGAGGAAGTAGAAGAGGATGCCGAATACATGGACAAGGACGATGGCGCGCGTGATTCCTCCTCATCTTTAAGCGCTGGCGTGAAGGACATAGAGATCGAGGACGGCACAGTCTCGTCGTCGGGGCCTCCGGCTAACGGGGCTTAAAAGGGCTCCACAAAAAGATTGAGCCAAGACTCGAAGCTTACTGTTTTTCTTGTGATCTTGTTGTATGTTGGTTATATTTCGCACAATCTTTGCTGTGTACAGGCAAATGACCCTTCTTCCCACCTCGCGTGGCACTCTTGCCTTGCCGGTTTCATCGAGCCGTCTTCTCGATACGGCCGAAAACACTTCTCAAGGTTTTTCAACATCGAACTACAAATATCCGTGTATTCTCTTCGTATTCTTATGCGTCGATACCTGTTCTCTTCGATTAGCTGCTCGACCCGATGGCGGCGACGGAGTGCAGGTTCGCGGCTTTGGCGATCGGACCCCCAAACTGGTCCCGCCGCTCAATTCCAATTTCCAATTCGGCAAAGACGCCGAACCCCACCACCGGTCCCTGCTTTCGTGCGTGTCGAAGCTTTTTTTATCCATCTGGCATGGCGAATGTACCCTCCCCCCCCTCCACCTTTTGACTCTGACCACGTTGGTTGGATACATCTGTTATTCGGGGACCACTTGCTACGTGGCCGCCCTAAGCCAAAACGGACAAAAGATAATATAAACAAAACAAGAAAAAGTGGGACAAAGGAGGAGGAAAAGAACATGAAAGTTTTAAAAAAAAAATTATACGCGAGGATAAACGATCGCAATCTGCAGAGAGGAACTGCGGCACCAGATTCTGCTGCTGCTGCCGCTGTGATTGATGGATACTTTGTCTTCGATTCTCCTCCGGAAAATATCTCCATGAGCTTCCCCTATTTATATCTCTCGAAGGCCTCGAGATATTTTTTTGTGGGTATAGGGTTTTGTACCTTTTTTAGGGACTTCTTCGGTGGTGCCCAAGGAGGATGTGGGACCCGCGTGAGCCCGGTTCGGGGTTCGAATCCCGTCTACGGCATCGAACAGATGCCGGTCTCCACTGATCGAACATACCCTTCGTTCTTTACGAGCTTGTATTTGTTAAGCGGCACGGTTCTTTCGAGGGACATGTAGATCAATCTCCTCCTCCGAAAGTAAAATTTCGTCCGGGAAGATTTAGGGCCGTCCGGATCGAAAAATTTACAGGACCCTCTAATTCACTGCCGTCCCCCCGTCAAAAATGGAAGTAGCTTGACCAGGAAAAGCTTTCCTTATTACTTAACATTTGACGCGTAATTATCTTGAATGAGCTTTGAAAGTCTAATTTCACACAGCGAGGAGCGCAGCCTATTGAGAGGCGACACGTGGCGAATTCCTTCCTCCAGCATCCCCGCAAAACTCTCGCGCCACTAAATGTGCGGGCCCCCCCCGGGTCTCTAACTTTAATCGTACGGGGGGACCTAATCTTCGCGCACGGCAAAGGCGGCGACGAAGGGGTCGAGTCGAGAGTCGAGAGATATTTTCGATAACCAAAATCCCGCGTCCTTTCGACTTTCGCGATCCAATTACTTCATTATTAAAAGGATGGCGGGATTAATTTCGCAACCAAAAGATTCTTTCTTAGTCCTGTAGTAGTTTGGGGGGGGGGGGACTCCAAAACAGGCTGCTCCTACATTTATATAAAGCGCGAAGCTATTACAAATCTGTGGGGGGCGGCGCCTTAGAAAACGCACGATCCAGAAACCTTAGCCCAACCAAACCAAACCAACCTCCCATTGCTGCTTTTCTTTCTTTTCTTTTCTTTTCTTTCTTCCGGTTTCCGGGGCGAAACCCGACCGGCGGCAATGGCGTCGCCGGAGACGTGGACGGACGAGAAGCATTTCCGCTTCCTGAGCTCGGTGGAGGCGTCCTTCGTCCGCGACGTCTTCGGAAACAAGAACGGCGGCGGCGACGGCGGCGGGGGGCTCCGTCTTGATCGGTATCTTCCCGACAGCTCCGAGTCCACCCAGGATTTGCAGTCCCAGAGAAGGAAGAAGAGCACGACCTCATCATCAGGTGAATTTAAAAGAAAAAAATAATAAAGAAGAAGAAGAAACGAAGAAAAAATCCACCTTTTCTCGCCAATTTTAGTAAGCTACTTCTGTGCGTTCTCTTTTTTCTAAAAAAGAAATTTCCGATCAATTTTCGCTTGAATTCGCTCCGAATCAATTCATTCTTCCAAGAAGAGGGGTCGAAAATTCGTATTTTCTCGCAATTCTTCGAAGCGTTAGATAACTCAGTTAAAGCTTCTTCGTCTAAGCAAATTAAATCGATTAATTTCTACTATTAATTAAAATTTGCTCTCAAGATTGAAGCTTCGAATCAAGCACTGCATTACGTTCCGATTTGTCACTGTTTTTTTTTTTTTGATCGAAGATTTGTCACTTTAAAGTGCGGTAATTTCCCGACATTGGTTGGTCTATCGAGAGCTCAACGCGATGATCGGCCGAATTAAATTCCTTTAATCAAAATGCGATTTTCTGAATGAATTGCTCGATTACTCGATGAGGAAAAATAGAATGCGATCTTTTTCTTCTCAATGCCGCAATTTTTGAATTCATTTTAACTTGATTTTTTTCTATTATAAGGAAATTCTTTTGGTCCAAATTATTAAGGATTTACTGGTTTGATTTTCTTTTCTTCTTTTTTATTTTGCCCATTTTTTTTTGACAAAATACGAGAATTCTTTGGCTGTTCCTGGAAGAATCTAGGGGAAATGTCGAATATGCCATAATGGCAGATATTTGTGTGCCTTTGACACTCATCTCATCTGGGGGGTCTCCACTGTTTTTTTTCCACGCATCAGACGGCGTGGGAGCGAGGCCGAGATCGGACGGCAGGCAGGACAAGAGATCGCACAAGGTTTCATCGCAATCCAATAGAGATTCCTCTCACGATCAGGTTGGTTGGTAACCCCATCACTGATTTTTGATTTTTTCATGAAAGGGGACCAAAGGACGCGTTTATTTCGCGAAAGACTATCGATTGTATTGCTCATAAAAATAAATAAATAAAAAATATTTTAGATATAAATTATTATCGATAATAAAAAATAATTTTATCGATTAATTATATCGAGTAATATAAACGATCATTAATTCATTTTTTGCGAAATAAACGGGGGCCTAAAAAGCAATGGACTCTTCATGGATTTGATTAAAGCTATGTTTATTTCGCGAAAAATAAATAATTTAAAAAATATTATTTTAAAATTGATCGTTTGTATTGCTTACAAAAATGAACGAACGAAAAAATATTTCATCACTTGCGAAAATGTTCGTACATGATGAAAAATATATTCTATTAATGAATTATTTTACGCGATATAAATAATTATTTTGTAAATTATTTATTTATTCGTTAAATCAATGGAGCCTAAGCTGGCGCATTATTTGTTTTTCTCATGATGAATTCCCTCTAATTAAGGCTGATCGATATTGCGCACCTTGACTTGACCCACGCAGGTGGTCCCACAGCTTGCTGATGTCATGGTCGAGAAGGGACCCACCAAGTCCAACGCGCCGTATTGAAGACACGTGGCACCCACGGCCAGCCAACGAGAGAGATTTTCTTGGAAATTTGTTCTCCGGGGATGAAATTTCTAAATTTTCCGAATTTAAGGGTGGTTTTTGTTTCCTAAATCTTGGTTGAAGTGCATGCGGAGGGTCGGCAGTAATTTGGAAGAGGACAGCCACTTCATGTTTAGGGGTGGTTTTGACAACTTATGAGATATGTAAATAATAAATTTTTTTATTCACCGAAACGTGAATTAACGGGGCATTATTGGAATGTTTTTGAGGATATGATCAGAAGATTTTACTCTCTATTGTATATAGTATCACTTAACCTCGTGCGTTCGCCGGAATCTGATCCGACAACAAAACTCATTTCACGGAAAGTCATTCTTCGATTTTTTTAATATGAAGAGATAGGTACCGTGACGATTCCGAATATGATAGAGCGCCAGAAATTTAATCGATGATAAAGATTCGAAAGCTACAACTGAGATACACATCGGAATTTAATCGAAAACGAGATATCTGGAAATTACATGAAAGATAGCGTTGCTTGTTTGTTTGGGGGTTTCTATTGTATGCAAGAACTAGTATTTATGGTATTTACGACATAACTACGCATAAGCAGTTCTTCAGCAGTTTCCACCATGCCTTGACATCTGCAAAGCTTTCGGCTCCACATCTTCACATTGCCGCGACATCTTATCTCCAAGCAGTCACTCCTTTAAAACCGCACCTCGATTCTCTGTGTTTATTTGTCGCCACCTTGACTCTCATCCAATTCGCTACTCCTTCGGATCCGGCTTCTAATCACGATCCATTTTGCTCCATTGCCTTGTCCGCAAGTAGTTTCAACTTCGAATGCCACTATGCTCGAACGACGCACCCACTTTACTCACAAAAACGGTTAGTTTTCAGATAATATCTCATCCTGCTGTCCATCGATGCTTTTCGATCGATATCTTTGCATTTTCTATCATTTGGTGAATTTGACAAGGACAATCATCAACCGACGGGGCATCGTATATTGATAGCTGATTATGGTCATCGATAAATACAACCATCGACAAAAACTCCTATGATAAGTATGGCCATCGATAAGGACTCTTGTAGTCAATATCTCGCCGATAGTATCCTCATCTGATCTCGGATCATATGCCTACTCGAATTGATATCATGCCAACTATAGTGATGTATACCACATTAGGTAATTTTTAACTTAAATCGGTCAACTAAGTGGTGTATAATTAGCGGTTATCGAGCGAATTTCATTGGCATTAGATTTTTCAGTACTGGATATGGTTATCAAAATCAAGCAGTTGGAAATATCCAAATCAAGCGGTTGGAACAAGTAATGCGATATGTATTGGTAAATTTACTTTGGATTTAGAAGGTTAATCCATCATCAATCGAGAAGAAAAGGATGCCCTACCTAACTTGGTAACGCTCAACACAGTTTGGACATCATTTTCAACTCCAATTGCTGAGATTTTCCATCTCCTTTGATAACCGCGATGTTGCCCCTACCTTTATACTATTTAGGAGGCATAAAGCCTTTTAAAGTGCTAAAAGTTTCGTACAGTGATCAATCTTCCACCCAACCAATACAATTTCAAAACCTTTTCGTTAACCTCATCAGATTTCCTTTGAAGTGATCAAGTTGATAAACATTGCATTAATTATTTTGAGTCATGCTCACATTATCGTCGGGAATACTTTTTACACTTGCAATACCTTTTAAAGGCAAGTTTTGCAATGAAAAACATTAGAATTGGCTTAATTAGATTATCGCATAGTTTGAGTTCGATACTTCCATAGGAGTTTCAAGGTCATTTTCTTCCGTAACACAAAAAACAAAAATCGGCATTACAACTTATCCAAATTCGAAGAGCCGGAGTAATCTACTAATGCATCCAACGCGAAACACGTCATAAGTTTGATCATCAAATTGCAAGCGAGAGTTCTAATCTGACGCGAACAGTGCAAAATCTAATAACTTTTTTCACGGATATTTCAAGTCTGTCATAAATTTAAATCGAATCATTTCATTAACTCTGCAACACGCATGCGATCTTCGTGAAAGTAATTTAGATTTTTTTTTTGAAGACTTTAAGGTTAATAATGGCGACAAGAACATAGGTTTCGTTGGTCATTACTACTCCATGGAAAGATTCCTAGGAGTTGAATAATCTCGCAAAGAAGCTTTGAGCCTTTGAGAATACACAACTGCTTTCCACCAGCAAAGCAAAGCAAAGCAGAGCAGAACATCGGGATCTCCTTCCAAGGTTTTCAGCCCACGACGAGCTCCTCCAAGAAGAACATCGTCGACGACAAGCCCTCGAATTTCAAAGAAGGACGATGCCATCGCTCCTCCAGACGTACAAGAACCTCGTCCTCTACGCCGCCCTGTCCCTCCTCCTCACCCTCCTCCTCTCCCTCCTCCGCGCCCCCGTCCTGTTCCTCCGCGGCCTCTTCACCTACATCCACCCGGAGAACCTCGGCCAGAGCGCCTCCCAGCCCGGCCTCAGGGCCGCCATCCGGAGGCCCAGCTCCGATCCGAGCTCCGGCGTTAATGGGTACCAGAATTTGTCCTCCAACGCCGCTGCCGCCAATGCCGAGGTCAGGAAGAGGGGCAGATCCAAGGAGAAGTTGGAGTTCGACGAGAACAATGCCCAGATCTTCAGGCTCAAGCTGGACGAGGCCCATCTCGAGTCCAGAATCTATTTCGGTGAGTACGGCAGCGTCTTCGCTTTGTCTCTCGTGGGCGTTTCGTGCGCCGCGCTTAACTTGTACTTGGGTGGCGGCGGCGGCGGCGGGGGGCCCGGGGACGGTGGGGTTTTGGCGGACGGGTCTCTGATTCCGGTCCTGTTCGGGTGCCTTGCGGTTGCCAAGTGGTTCTTGGCGCTCGCTAAGGTTTCTTTCGAGAGGTCGGCCTCCAGGAGGTCGGACAAGCAGCTGAGCTTGTGCTTTGGGGTCTTGGGGTTTATCGCGGGGCTCTTGATTTGCTCGTCGCTTGCTCGGTCAAGTCTGGATTTTGATTTGGGTGCAGTGGATGGTTTCTGTGCGATTTTAATCGCGGGCTCAATGGGTTGCCTCGCCGGGTATCTTTATATGCCTGCGGCGAAAAGTGCCCGGGCGTTCTGGCTCGGAACCGATCAGATTCGATCCAACTTGTCCATAATTTCTTGCGGATGGTTTGCGAGAATGGTGCTCTTTGCGACCTATCTGTCGAGTATTTTCACGGCATTGCTTTGGATCAATCCATTAGCTAAAATGCTCGTTAATGAAAGACTCGGTGATGGTAAGGTGGGGAGCTTATCTGGTGATGGTGGAGATGCCGACAGATTACTTGGAAATGTGGGGATGTCGAGATCGGATTTTACCAAGTTTAGGCTTTGGTGCTTGCTGATATCGAGTGTCTTGCAAATCGTGGCTTTTCGATCGATCTTTCAAATGTATCTGAACGAAGCAGTACTGTCGTGGTACCAGAGGTTGCACTCTAGCAGAGTTCCGGATTTAGATTTTAGCAGGGCCAAGGTTTTTCTCCACAATCACTACCTATGCCTGACTATCTTGCAGTTCCTCGCCCCCCCGAGCTTGGTACTTCTCTTTCTTGGCTTATCTCAGATTGAAGGTAACCCCTTTGGAAAGTCAAATATGCTATGTGGCCAGCTGCCTTGCTCGGCTTTTCTCAAGCAGGTGGCTCTGCTCATGGCTTGGTGGGTGGTCTTTGTTTGGACCGTGTTCGCTTCTGCGACGTTGGTGCTATACCGTCGTGGTTTTTTGTATGTTTCCTGAGGACTCAATTCCATGGTAGGAAGGGCTGTGCGCACCACCCCGCTGATCACCTTATATTTGGGTTTGGACCTTCATATTTTGGCCTTCGGGTGAAAATTTTGACTAATTTTGAGTGGAGTGTCGCGCTTGTGAGACCCTTTTAACTGTTAATTTGACAGTTTCAATACATGGGACCACACGGACTCATTTCATTGCTGGATAGACTATATTATGAATTTCGTTGGCCACTGACTGACTACTGCCGGAACTTGCAGTTTGGTACAGCTGGAGCTGGTAACTTCTCCATTGTCTGTTTCATGTTCAATTCCATGCTTCTATCAGTTCATTTTGATTCTTTAGTGCGTGAATCTATAATTCCAAGTGCTTCATGGCATATTTTGCTACCTCACTAGTCTGGCTGTTCGATGCCTATCTAAGGGTTTGCCTGGTGAGTACCTGAATGATCTAATATGGACTAAGCAACTGCATCATGTCATGCGTGGTGTTCAATGCTAGTGTTGGCCCTCAGAGGCAAAGGGTAGTGAATTAAACAACCCGATGATTGAGAAGTCAATTGATTAGGGGTTATATTGTCTCTGTGCCTTTCTTGTGTTATATGAATTGTTGTTTGTAGGGTCTAAAAGGCTTCTGTGATTGAACTGAATGTAGGATTGTCAAAATCATAAACTGCATTGTCAATTAATGCAATGCTAGAGAAGTTTGGTTTGATGGACTGGAAATTGATCCTTCATGAACTTATATGTTCCTGGAACTTCCTCGACAGAAGCATGCACTAATATTTTCAACATCGATTTCTTTCTGTTTGTAGTTTTTTTTCAACTCTAGCAATTGAATTCCTTTAAATGATTAGAGGACAGATGAAGAACCCAAATTTTTCATTTAAGATATTCCCTATGCCATCGGCACCGCTTTGTTTCTTGATGTACAAGGTGTTACTCTGTCCTTTTTATTGTTCTAATGAGAATGGCAAATATTCATTTCCTGCTTCGCTTTACAAGTTCTCTCTCAGAAAATGTGCACTTTCAAGGAATATTGTCGTTTTGATGAATTCAGTGATGGCCATTTCTCGTCCTGCTGAATGTCCCTATATGGTCATGAAACTTTTGCATTCATATTAGCTATACGAATTTTTGTGGTAACCTTTTCTAATTTGATCGGATAAAGTTTGCTGGATAGCAAAAGGAATGATGTAGCTACCGTTTGTTGCATGCACGGACTTCATAGACGATGCACCTTCTTGGCACTGTCAAAGCTTTGAGCTCTATTAGAAAGTCACTTTCCCAAACCACGTCTCTCGGACATTGTGATTTAAGGCTCTCATATTTAGCAACATCTAAGATGGATGGCGGGTTCGAGTCTCGTTCCCTTGCAGATTTCGTGCTATAAAGGGTGCTTGATTTCATAGGATCCGGCGCAGTGCCAGAGTGTCGGCATGGTAAGGGTGCGTTTGGCAACTTGCCAAATAGTAACTGATTCTGTTTTTTTGTGCCCAGAATCAGTTTTGGAACAGAATCAAAAAGCAAAAAAAAGTAGCTTCTTGATTCTGGAACAATTTTTCCGGAATTGATTCTTCTTGGTTTTCTTCCTTTTTTGGTTTGTTGTTGTTCTTTGGCCCACACGGCGCGCCACAGGCCAAGGCCGAGGCGGCTTGCGGTCGCGGCGGTGAGGGCCGCGACGCCCTCGCCGGCCCTGGCCTGTGGCCGGTCGCCGGCGCCGGCGGCCAACCATGGCAAAGGAAGGGAGGGGAAAGAAAGAAAAAAAAATGGAAAAAAAAGAAAGAAATATTAAAAAATTCAGAATATTATTAATAAAAAGAAATTTTGTGTAGTTACCAAACGCATTTTTGTTCTTTTTCTATTATAAGAACATAAATTTTGGGCAGTTACCAAACGCTTTCAGATGCTTAGAAATTGTTTCTAGGTACAGAACCAAAAGGAATTATTTCTGCTCAGAATCTATTTCTGGATACAGAATGATTGTCATGCGCAGCCTAAGGGTGCGTATGGTAACGTTTCTATTTCTGGGAATAATTTCTTTTCAGAAATAGTTTTTTCTATTTCTATTTCCTGGAAGAGTTTCGAGCAAAATAATGCGTTTGGTAATCTGCACAAAATTTCTATTTCTATAACGAAATGTGTTTGGTAATCGTGCAAAATTTCTATTCCTGGAATAGAAAAAGAACGAAAATAGGTTTAGTAACTGCACAAAATTTCTATTCCCAATTTTTTGCATTCAAATCTATATTTTTTATTTAACTATAAGTACAAGTTATAAGTGAAAAAAATCAATAAGCATGATTTATTGGTTTGTCTAATCCTTTTTAGGGTTTAAAACCCCTTTTAATCCCTAAACTAAGGAATCTTCAAAAATACCACTTGGGCACCTCAAAAATTTAAATTTCACTCAAAGTGGGTTGTTACAGGTATTCTAAGCCATTATGTGAATTTTTTTTATATTTTTTTGGGGTAAAATTTATTAAAATTTTTTACTTTCCCTAAATCTGTTTCTTTTTATTTTCCGAAAAATTTTTATGAAATTTTTTTTTCAATTTCGGAATTTTGCAAATATTTAAGGGTTTTGATTTTCGAGTTTTCGATTTTTATGGATTTTACGAAATTTTTCTGATTTTATAATTTTGGGAATTATTTTTTTTTTTTAATTTTCTAATTTTTTATGGGATTTTTCTGAAATTTTTCTAATTTTTATGAATTTTCAGAATTTTTTAATTTATTCTAAGCCATTATGTGAATATTTTTTTTTGTTTTTTTTTTGGGGAAAAGTTTATTAAAACTTTTTACTTTCCCAATTTTTCCGAAAATTTTTATGAAATTTTTAATTTTTCAATTTCGAATTTGCAAATATTTATTTTCGAGCTGATTTTTTATGAAAATTTATATGAATTTTGGAATTTTTTTTTCTAATTTTTTGGGAATTTTGTAAATTTTTATTAATTTTCGGAATTTTTAATTTATTCTAAGCCATTTTGAATATTTTTTTGGGAAAACGTTTTTACTTTCCGAAATTTTTCTTTTTTCGATTTTTATGAATTTTGAATTTTTTATTTAATTTAATTTTAATTTTTTAGAATTTTTTGATTTTTATGGATTTTTGAGAATTTTTTGATTTTTATGAATTTTGGAATTTTTATAATTTAATTAATTTTTATAATTTTTATTATTTGGAGAATGGACCGGATCGGTGCTTTGAGACGGTTTGCAGACGACGGAGGATGAAGGAGGAGATGAGGTCGCGGCTTAAGGATCGGATCTTTCTATTTCTATTTCTATTTCTAGGAACAAAGAAGTAGATTTTTTCTACTTCTTATTTCTGCTCCAAATCTATTTCTTGGCTACTTTTCTATTTTAGAAAATAGAAAAATAAAATACGTTATTAAATGAATTTTTGTTTTTTTTTTATTTTGAAAAATAGAAGAACAGAAAAATAGAGAAGTAGAAGCGTTAGCAAACGCTGACTGATGATGTCCCTGATGATTTCTTCTGAATTCGGTAGCTGGTTCTTGTTGATGATTATGGTTCTGACCTTTCCTTTCGTCGTTTCTCTTGTTTTCTTCTTCCTGAGAATTAAAGTGGGGATGACAGAAAAACAAAAGCTGCAGGTGGGCTAGTCAAACGAAAATTTACGCAAGTAATCAGGGAACGGAATAAAATATATTATGTGTCGGCCACACATGACATGGCCGACGTAGTATTAAATTGTATTTCTCTCCTTTGGCTCTTGATTGGCCTGTCACGTTACTGTCACCGCCACGTGGCGTGCGACGGTTGATTGAAATACTGTCTCGATAGAAAGGAGTGAAAGAGGATGGGGATTTCGAGCTTGGGTGCTGAAAAGAAAATCCGATTCTTGCGAGTTAAAGAACCTGAAAGAACAGTGATGGTACGATGGGTGTTAGGAAGTTGGGGCGGTGGTTGAATTGATGAACTGACCTATTGAAATTGGTTGCTGTTATCTTCTTTGTAGCCATACTTCAGGCTTCTTTCAAAAACCATTTCATCGTGTTTTTTGTCTGTCTTCTCAACTCTTTGTCTGCTAAACGCGATACGATCTTCTTTTTTTCCTTTCTTTTTCTTATGCTGAACGAGACGAAATTGGCTCTCTCGTGCATCCGAACCGTGACGTATAGCGAGCGAATCTTATCGGAGCACGGACGCGATCGAATTCGAATCCGGCTTCGACACGAAATGGGAAATTCGGTGGCTGAACTCGACGAGATAATCAGCAATAAAATCGTTCTTGTCGGGTCCGTGATTCGCTCGTGAATTCCATCCGTCGATAAAATTGACTTTTACCTTGGATTGGATTGGGATTGGGATTGGATTGGATCGGTGCAACGAGGGAGCTGGTTAAATCGATGCTTTTCGGCTCGTGTGAAAAGGCCACATGAACGGCCGTGAGTTTGCTGCGAATTCGATTCAATCCAAACTTTTAAAGTTTTCCACTTCTATCGTTTCCAAGTCTCGTAAGGACAAAAAGGGGGTCGTGAGTTTGGTGCGAATTCGATTTAGTCCAAACTTTTAAAGTTTTCTGCTTTCGTGGTTTCCAAATCTCAAAAGGACAAAAAGGAGACAACTGAGGGGCGAAAATTGTTCCAGAAATTTGAAATATATTGAGCTTATGCTAATTCAGTAAATATTTTAGTTTTTGTTTTGGTCAAACTAGACGTTTTGATTAAGTCATAAACTTTTTTTTCACTTTTTTCCAATCGATTCTATGTCGGCATAATAAAAAGATGTACGGCTGAATTGACAAAAACGCAATAAATTTCGGCCGTCTGGGACAATTATCCCCGACAACTATGGGCCCGCCTCGCGAATGAGGCGCCACGTGTCCCGGGGGGGCCCCACCGCCTCCCGCATAGTAATCCCAAATTCGAAGAAACTTCTCGACGAGACACGATGGTGGCTGGACGGACGGAAGAAGAAGAAGAAGAAGAAGAAGAAGATACGGCGAAATTGAAACGTAAGTAAAAGGCAACAGGCAAAAAGGCCTTCTCGCCCCCTCCCCTTTAACAAAAAAAATAAATAAATAAAAACCCCTCCGGAGATATTTATCACTGCCTCCTCCTCCTCCTCCTCCTCCTCCCCACATCTCCGTTAGCATTTTCCCCCCCGCCTCCTCCTGAACCTCTTAGAATCCGTCGTCCCCATGGCCGCTCCGCCGGCGGAGCACGGCCGCGACGCCGCCGCGCCCGGCGGCGAGCCCCAGCGGCCCGCCCCCACGCCCTTCCTGGCCAAGACCTACCAGCTCGTCGACGACCCCGCCATCGACGACGTCATCTCCTGGAGCGACGACGGCTCCGCCTTCGTCGTCTGGAACCCCACCGCCTTCGCCCGCGACCTCCTCCCCAGGTGTTTCAAGCACAACAACTTCTCCAGCTTCGTCCGCCAGCTCAACACCTACGTACGCAGCCCCGTTTCCCCCCCCTTTGGAAATGATCCGCTTCCCGTTCCCGTCCATCCGGTGCATCCGAGCTGACGAAACGTTGGCGGTTTCTTCTTTTTTCTTTTTGCAGGGATTTCGGAAGGTCGTGCCTGATCGGTGGGAATTCTCCAACGACTGCTTCAGGAGGGGCGAGAAGCGGCTCCTGCGCGAAATCCAGCGCCGCAAGGTCTCCGCCTCGCCGCCGTCCCCGGCGGTCCCGGCGGCGGGGTGGCGGCCCCGTCCCCGGGGAGCCTCGCCGTCGAGCTCCGGCGACGAGCAGGGCCTCTCGACGCCGCGGTCGTCCCCGTCGGCGTGCGGGCAGAACTGCGCGGCGGAGATCATGGACGAGAACGAGCGGCTGCGGCGCGAGAACGCGCTGCTCAACCGGGAGCTGAGCCAGATGAAGAGCCTCTGCAGCAGCATCTTCAGCCTGATGTCGAGCTACGCCGCCGCCGGCTCCCTGGCGGACGCGGCGGCGGCGAAGAAGAAGAAGAAGAAGCCGCTCGAGCTGTTCGGCGGCGAGGAGACGGCGGCGGCGGAGGCGGAGGAGGAGAGCCCGAGGCTGTTCGGGGTGCCGATCGGGGGGGCGAAGCGGGGGAGGGAGATGAAACTGGAGCCGTTGGATTGTCAGAGCAGGAGCAGCGGCGGCAACCAGCCGAGCCGAGGAGAGCCGTGGATGAAACAGTGCCACAGATCGAATCAGAGGGTGTTCAACTAATCATCACCACCATCTTCTCTAACGCCTGCACGAAAGGGCTTCTTTTTCTTTTTTCTTCTTCTTTTTTCGTGTTTAGGACACAGAGCAAAAGAGCGCAAAAACGACAACGTACTGGGAACCGAAGGTGGGACCAGGCCCAGTGCGATGCACGTGCGGGCGTCACGTGACTTTCACCGCAGCCTATTTTGGAACACGGAAGGAGGAAGGGGAGGGGGGGGGGGGGGGGGGGGGGCTCAGCTTGTTTTTCTAGGCCGTTTCTTTTTTTTTTTTAAACTTTTTAATTTATCTTTTCCGTAATGTTATGAGGTTGTGTAGATGTAACGGTGGAAAAGCGAAAAAGCCTCTGTAGAATCTCGAAGGCGATTCTCGAGGAGGAGAGAAAGGTCGATCGGATCAGTGAAGTAGCGTAGCGTAGCTTGTTTGTTAGCACTGTATGATCAGTGTTTGCCCAGCTACTGTCGCGCCTTTGCTGTTTCGTTCATGCTAGAATCGGTGTCGGCTCGACACCGGCTTAGATCGTCCCGAGGGTGATTCTCCCGGACTTAAATCTGCGGCACTCGCGATGATGTCCACCCTGAACACGCATTGACAATCGTAAGGGGGATCAAATTAATCTGATTAATTCGAGATTGAAAATGTCGAAAAGATTTCGTATCGTTCGATAATAAGGTTTGTAAGCTTTTTATATATGATCTTACTGCACTTATAAGCATAATCTTTTTCGGGTCGAATAGGTTCTGCTCGTTTTCCGTGTGTGCGTCCTTCCCGCCTCCGCGTGATTCATACCGAGCGCGATCACGTTGGATTGTGGGTGATGATGATGGCCTTAGCTTTTACCGAGCAGGCACCAACCTGGTCCTGACCGAACAACTGGTTTGCTTTTCTACGTAGTTTCTCGGAGGTTCACGTGAGGTTTGCTAGGAAGTTGCCAATCAAACCGGTCCAAAGGAAGTGGCGCCACCCAAGATTGCGGCGGGGTTGGAAAATTCAAGAAACGAGTTAAGTTTCTTTTTGAGCTGTAAAAGGCTCCACTTCTGAGATGATAAAGATATGGTTGGGCGGGCGGAGCATTTACTTTTCAAAGCTTTTGGTTTTGGATAGAAAGACATGATCATCATATCGGATGACTAAATTTTCTTGCTTTGGCGTCCGGGAGAATGATGACAAAACGAAGGGGGGGCCGTGCGAGTGCGAGTGTAGCGTGAGAGAGAGAGAGAGGGAGGAGTCAAGTTGCCTCCTTCGTCAAATCTGTTCTTTTGCCAAACTTGCCCGACCTGATTTGCATGTTATTATTTGCGGGTTAGGCTACGGTCCACGCTGACCCTTTCTTAACGTTCTTGGTAGTTTCCAATTCTCCCAATTGAGTTCTCTTTCTATTTTCTCTTCGCGATTTTTCAATTTGCTTTTCTGAGGAAGAAAGTGAAAAAAAAAATCAGGGAAAATAACCAAGCAAAACTGGCTATTATAAGGACATGAAGTATGATTGCCTTTTCTTGATGCGATCTGTAAACTCATAGGTTTGTTTTCTATACCGGTCTTTTTTCACGTTTTGTAAATGATTGCCTATGACACGTGAACTAAACACAATCTCAGCAACGTGTTTCTTTAGGACTGAAGGAGGAGAAGTCCGGCAATCCTTAACAACATGTTCCTTGCTTTTGTTGCTGGCTGCTGATCTTGGGTGTTTCTTCCTAACGTGATGCAATTCCGGCTACTTTCTCACAGATGTTATGGGCAATGAACCTTTGATTTTGGGCTCGTGCTTATTCACGCAGGAGATGGCATAGGGCCCGGTGTAACATGTGGCTCCGGTCGACCCGAATCACATGTTGTTGCTTTAGATAACGATCAAGCTTTTACATATGTCTCTCTTCTCTTATGTTTGTCTCTCCAGTTAACCGAATCGTGCTCCTTATATCGTTCCTTCCATTTGCATGCATTGCATGTGCAAATATCCGAAGAAACACTTGTTAGCAATATGCATCGTGCTCCTCATGTTGTCAAACAATATGTTGATCTTCGTGTAGATTTGGTGGCTAAGCTTATGTTCTATCACCCTTTAGTCGAGGGCTTCTAATTCCCACGCAACATCAATCAACCGGTGCTATGTGTATGCGAAGCTATTCGTCAGACTTATCGATATCTTCTTCGTTTGACGTGTGCGTCCACGTGCTACTCTCAACGAAATTATTGGTAGAATTAGGGTTTTAGACCCGAGTGTACCCATGATGAAAGTCTAAGAAAACATGAAGTGCCCATTTTCGCCCCCTCTTCTAGGGTTAAATTAGATGATACATAATGTTGTTTGATGCGGGAGATTTCGAGAGATCGAGAGAGACCCATGAAAAAGAAGCCGATGAAGGTTCGTTCCTACAACTTTTGTTAAGATGCTAGAGGCACGATAGCTGGAGGCCTCGAGCATGGCCAAAATCGCGACACATGACAAATTTGACTAGAAAGGATTCAGCGTCCAATGGCTTTATGGGACGGGTACGTGTCATGTGTCAACGATGAAAAGAAAGTGCACGATTTTCCTCAATTTGTGCTGATCAAACGAATTGTCAGTGCATATGGTAGAGGAATATTGGAAAAGGAAGTAGCTTTTTCTGGAGCTATAACTTGGTGTCCTTATGCACGTTCAGTCACACATAACATCGTATTCTCGTCATCAACACTCACAAAGGACGTGTCGAGCCGAGAGAGGTCGATTCCAATTCACTTGGTTAAGACCATCGGACAAGTGGCTGCCTCCTCGTTTTTGTTCCCTCGGTCTTTCCTCATCCTTTCAATCGGAAATGATTTTATATGTAGAAATCAAGAAGCAAAAACAAAAAAAGAAATGGTTCTGAAACTGAAAGTGTACTTAAATTCTGGCATTCGTGGCCAAGAGGGACAAAAGATGCTGCAACATTGTAGTAACACCTCACAAGTTAATTATAAGTTAAAGCAAATGTTGGGAAAATATCTTGAAGAGCACAATTAAGAATATCTCAAACTATTATATGCTTGACACAGTCCATCTCATGTATCTTAATGAAGAATTAGTTTGCATGATTGTACTTTTTCTTCTTTGTTTTCAATCACTTCACTATTATATACATGTTAGCCGTTGCATACATCATCTTTACCAAAGTGAGGTTGATCTCTTGCGGCTCATTCCTATGAATCATCTTGACCGTTGCGGCATTTGCTTCGAGCTCCTCGTGTTGTGCTCGTTTGTGCTCATTCATGTTGCGAAAACTTCTGAATAATGTAATCATCTTCAATATGCCATGTGAGCAGATACCACAATATAAATACATGTAACAAACTCTCATAATCTCAACCACCTCTTTTCATATATTCCTAATAATAGGTCCATCCAAATCATAGTTTCCAAAGAGATGGTGGAGCTTAAAGGACAAGCGATTCATTTGCATTGGAAATGAGCATGGAAACACTAAAGTCGAAGTCACATGTTATGTAAATACAATTAATTAACTAAAGTGGACTAATAATGATAGTATATCCCATTCCGGAACAGAATGGCCGTCCCTTCAAAAGTGCACATGCCCATTTAGAGTGGCAATATCATCGTTGTCATCATCATCAATGCAACTTTAAGCCATTTCCTTAGATAGAAAGAGGCATCTCTAGGGTTCATAACAAGTATAGAACTTGCCTTGATATGGCTAGAAAAAGGGATCATCCCTAGGGTTTTTACTGTAAACGGTATGGGATACCATCCAAAGTGAAGCACCAACGACAGTTTACTAATCAAAATGCTCCCATTCGAGGCATCTCTTGGGAACGAACATAAACTATACGCATATAGACACCTTTTTCCTCGAAACCCATGTAAATCCGTAGTTTGTTAACAACTGCCCAAACCTTAGTATGTTTAGACAAGATCGATCCTAAAACCCTAAGCAACAAAAACATTTGGTGCGGTAAAGAAAAACATTATACTAGGGTTAGACGAGGGGGCTTGTCTTGTCGATAAGATACTCTTTTTTTTTTTTTTTTTGTGATGTTTCTAAATGCAAGAAAGGCAGGTTTATGGACGGAAGCACCTTAAAAGCCGAATGCCCATTTGCCCAAAGATATGGTATTTTAATCTAAGTGAAAAGAAGGAAGTATTCTCCGCGTTCTCATCACCCAATGATATGGAGACAGGTGAGATTCGATACATGAAATGAGTTACTGTGCAAATTTAGGGTTTTGAGAGATTTGGTTTTTTGTTTATCGTCTCAGATAGGACAGGCTCATCATGGATCTCATCCCTCCAGTGGCTTCAATTCTCTCCGAACTCATGAAAAAGAGACAACTCAGTTCCGAGGAAAAGAGACGCACTTTTGGGTTTGAGTCCCTCTTCATAAAATACACAAACCTTTTCAACGGGATGTTGAAGCATCCCCGAATCTTTTGAGCCAGCTCGAGAGCTTCCAAGGCCGTCTTCTCTCTCTCTCTCTCTCTCTCTTCTTCCCTGTAGTTAATTTTTTCTTCTTTCTCTAGCCTATAAAAGGGTCTCTTGCTTTGCTAAATAACCATGCACTCCACTAGATTTCTTACGAAGAAACATACTAATATATCAAGACCAATTTAATCGAGTTCATTGGTTTTTGAGCTTTCTTCATCGTATCATGTCGAGGCTAATAGAACCACTGAGCGTGGGAGGAGTGGTGGGGGATGTGGTGGACATTTTCACACCCACGGTGAAGTTGAATGTGATTTATAACTCCAACAAGAGAGTCTCTAATGGCCACGAGCTCATGCCTGCCGTTATTGTATCCAGGCCTCGTGCGGAAGTTGGTGGGGATGACATGAGGGAGGCTTACACTTTGGTTAGTCCTTGTTTTAGTTTTTCTCTTTTGGTTGTCTGATGTATCTTCCTTGCTTTGATTCATAAGTTTCTAACTTGTTTGTTTTGGATACTTCTAATTGTTTGGGGCGAACGCGAAGATAATGACCGACCCGGATGCTCCAAGCCCTAGTGATCCTCGTTTAAGGGAACATCTCCACTGGTTTTTCTCTTCACTACTGTTATCTAAAGTCTTTCAGCTATAACATTTATTTTCACACCGCGTTTACCCCAATTTGGACCTAGCTAGAGCTGCCTCACTTTGCAGTGATAAAAGAAAGATCACGTGTTTTTAGCTTCAATAGAAAGTTATGTGCGTCTTTGTTCTGATGCGTAAGTTGAATTGTTTTCCAACTGTTCAAAAGAGTAGGTTAGATAACGTGAAAATGAAGCTCTTATTAGATACGACTTAGTTTTACATGAAGATGAGACTTTCTTGATAGACAAGTTTGATGCATCTCACCTGTTCATTTAGGTTGGACAGCCATGTCGCTCGTGATTCTCCGAACATTACAACCCCATTAGCCTGTTCATGGCAATATGGGACAATTGGGTCACTTGTTTAGTATTGTGTCTCGACAAAATAACATTTTCGCGCACCACTCTCTCACCTCATTCATTATTAGTGTTCTGCGGAAGATAAGAGCGCTTTGTCTAACATTTCAAAGCTGTGGTTCCCACATTTCAGGATGGTCACAGACATTCCCGGTACTACTGATGCTTCTTTTGGTGAGCTCCTCTAGTTTTTCCGCCAATTGACGATTTTTTTCCCCTTCTTCATTCGGTACTTCTTAAGATATAGCTTGAGTGATGAGTAAACGGCTTTGTTAATGCAATGAACACAGGGAGAGAGGTGGTGAGCTATGAGACACCGAGGCCGGCGGTAGGGATCCACCGGTACGTGTTCGTGCTGTTCAAGCAGAGAGGGAGGCAAACTGTGGCCGGAGCTCCGGCTTCGAGAGACTGTTTCAACACCCGAGCCTTCTCTCTCAACCATGGCTTGGGCTTGCCTGTCGCCGCCGTCTACTTCAATGCCCAGCGAGAGACCGCCGCTAGAAGAAGATGATCGATCGACCCTCATCACCACCCATCATCACGAATTACAATAATCCCTCTCCTCATTATTAATTCACTTCAGCTTAGCTGATGAAAACTTTTTCCTTTCCTTTTTCTTGAGTTTTTCCTATCCTAGGCCTCCAAAAGGCTAGGAGTTGTCAGCATATTATGCGGGGAGACATTTGAGAATGTTGTGTCTTGTGTCTCCCATTTCGATTGGACCGCAGCAGTCCAGTAACTTGGTACTTGGTGTAGGCGACTGTCGTTGCTTGGTCCCATGTCATGTCTCTGTCTATAGGACCAGAAAAAGAGGAAGAGAACACGAGATGGGGGATGCATGTAGCATCAGAGCTAAGCCCTACGGATGGGAATGCACGACTTTATATAATATATGTCTTTTTTATATTTTAATATAATGTGGCATGCAACGATCAGTGATTGGAGTATCTGGTTCTTCCATCTCATATTGTCTGAAGTGATTCAGCAGACTAAGAAGAGGACAAAAGAGGAAGGATGCGAGTATATGCATGTGGCGGGTGAAGTTGGTGGGAATGATTCAACGAGAAGTTGTACAACAAGCAAGAAAAAGATTCGGCAAGAAAGTTCCTAGAATAATTATAGGCAAGAACCGCAAGCCATCGTGGCCTGGACAGCATGTATTAAGACCTAAACTCAGGTCTTGGGAAACCACGTAATGAACATAGTGACAATCTCCCCCCAATTGCATCCGACATATGTATGTCATAACATCGTAGCCGTACAGTTTGCTGCCATATCGTCTTGAAGATCCAATTTTCGATTTCATAACCCGCCTTAAAAGAGTTTGGTCGGATCGGGAACATAGAACGACAGCTCCACTCTCTACCGAACTTTTAAAAAGATTTCAATGAATGACGTTGGGACGGAAACAAAGTGAGAAAATTGGAAGGCTGTAAACATTGCCTTGACAACCATAAAATATCCTAGTTTGTAGAAAGATCTGCACATGTTCAATGTAGAAATCGACTCACAGACCTTACGACAGGACTTGCATGTGAAAAAAGAGTCGAAAATGGCAAACTCAAAAGACAATCTCACTACAGAGGATTTGAACTCAGTAGGACTAGTGTGTATGAAACCCTGTGAGAAGTACCCTCTCCGGCATATCATGGAATCAGATACAGGCGGTTTTAGAAGCCATTGCGAAGTTTTGGCCTAACATCATTTTCCGAGCATTTCAATTGGCGTTCATTCAATAATGACCAAGGCATGAACACACATATGTATCCAATCCATGTGCTCCAAAGGCAAAAGAGCTCATCGTTGCTGTCTAAGAGGAGTCATGACGGTAGAGAAGTAGAGCAAACAAAGTGTACACTTTTTGAGTGGCATTCACTAATAATCTACAAATCTCCGGACAGATGTCCTCTTTTACAAACCCTCCTGAATAATTTCAAAAAATCAATACAGAAAGCGTTTGCAGTCAGTCATCCTCCAATAACATGAATTTACTTACCCACAAGCATCGAGCCCAACAAGAAAGAAGCACGCGTAAAATCTGAAAATCTTCTTCCTCCGCTCCCATTTAAGCCTAAATTTCGTCACCGTGAATCAAAACTCGATATAGAGGACCTTTAAGGAGCCCTAGGTTCCCATATACAGGGATCAGGCATTTATCTCCGAGTTGCACTGATTTTCCCTGCTGCAACTTCTTCTGCCCCAAAACATGCTTGAGCATGTCGTTCTCTCCACTCTAGGCCTGTCCACTTTATCTTGTTCTGTTGCTATCACTTGTGAATGATGGGGAGTTTCCCCCTGTGCATCTTCCTCTCCGGGCTCAAAAGATGGGCAAGGCCTGTCATTGCATGTGCATAGCGGAATGGCAACAGAAGGAAATGGGCTACAGGTGACGGGGCAAAAAAGATCTGAAGAAACAGAAGCTACACGGCTTTTCCTAAAATCTGGTGTACATGCTGGAGGACACTCTGGATCACATTGATGAAGAATGCAGGGGTTACAGAGGGCGAGGGAAGTGTGAAGTTTGATCTCCTTAGCAGGGGAACCGGGAATTTTGACGAAAGCAATAACTCCGTGTCTACAAAGTGGGCATGGGATACACCCAGGTGGTCCCACCACCTCCGAAGATATGTTGCTTGTGGAGCAAAGATATAGAGCGCATCTCACACAAAGCTCATGGCCACAACCTGAAAAATTAAAGTCAACGGCCATCAGCAAAGTGCAAGAGTGATTCCAGACCATTCAACTGGCTACAAGTTACCATGCCTTAGCCAAGCTGGGGAAATACATCAAGAGAGGGAAAAGTTTGGCTATTGCAAAAATCACTGGATAAATAGCAGCAACAAGCAAAAAATCAACATATTCTCTAATATACAAAACTCCTCTGGATGCTTAATTCTCTCTCTCAATATCCCACTCTTATAGTAAGTCGCATCAATCTCGGGTGAAAACGGTTGTCGTGTTTCCACCACCTGCAGTAGCTTTGCATTGACGTGACCCTCTTTAAATTAAGGATTCGAATAATTTCTCACGTGTTCCTCATGACGGGAAAAGGCTCAGAATGTGTCTGAATGCATCCCTAGGCTAAGATACCTCGTGGAAAGTAAAAGTCAGAGAGCAGAAAAGCAAGACAGAGAGAGCTAAGCATTGCATTTAATGACAAATGGATTATAATCATCTTTGGCCAAAAAATACTGCAAGGAAATTAAGGTTCACAAATAAAGATAATGTGGAGATTTGTGGAGATTAATGTAGAACGGTCAGAAAGCATCCATCCAACCTGCTCCCTATTGACAGGTATTATGGCTTGTTCTGACAAATCATGCTTTACGACATCTCGAGCAACTCTGAATATTCAAGTTGAGAATTTGTTCACAAAAGATATGTCGAATTCTACTATCTTATAAATTTGGGACATTGTGATGGCATCATAATTAATTGTTCATTTTCCAGTACCTAACCATGTCCTACCATGATCTTGCATTATTTCTGAGATTAGCTCGCTGAGAAGAACTATCCACCATGAAGAATAATCACAGCAGCAATGCTTTGCAAGCGCAAGCAGTTACACTCAGGAAGTTTAATCGTTCGAATTAGTGAAACTAAACCAGTAATTTGCAAGCAAGCACTCCACAGATGCATTTTTGCTACAGAGCTTGATCCAGTAGTTTGTGAGCAAAAGCTCAAAAAGATGCATCCTTGCTACAAAGCTTGATCAGGAACTCGGGAACTGTCATTTCAGTCGTATCATACCATATGATTGAGCTCAATAATATGTCCAAGGATTGAATCCGCACGCAAGGAAATAAGACCCTCTGAAAATCAAGCTTTCCAAACAATTTTTTACTCAAACGAGTACTTGGTTGTGAAAACTGCGAATAAATTGGTAGCCTGGTAAAAATCATTAAAGTAGGTAAGGTGAACAAACAGGGATGCCTTCTGAGTTCCAACAATGTAAAGAACAGTTGCCAAGAAATTGTTGATCAATACTATAGATGCAACGAGCGAAAAAAGAAAAAAGAAACAGACATCTGAGAGAGTAAAGCACGACTAGCGTGGAGTCTATGATTATCCTCTTAATTTACATATTTGAAATAAATGAAATTGATAGGAGACAGAAGGATCAAACCTTCAGCTGCAACACTACATGCTCTCTCCAAGCAGACAGCGCAAATGTCCGTATCATCGGAGGAGGTTGTGGAAAGTTGCAGCCCACAGTCTCTGCGAAAATTTAACCAATTTTCTAGCAAGATCAGCAGAAAAACATGCCCCAACCTACTGCTTCCTCATGGAAGCTGGAGAAGCATTTCTGCATGTTTAATCGTTCGGTCTATCTCTAAGGATGTCTTACCAACTACCAAAATTCTATAGCTAGATTCAAATAGTTCCATTTCATCAGGAAATTTGAAACGAGAGTGACATGTCAGTTCTAGAATTCTGCCACAAGTAAATGGGGATGGAATATATGGGGCTGAACATGGCTCAACACCTGCATAGATTTTAAAACTATTGGAAGCTGGGAAGGACATAATAATTTGTGTACTTAAGAAATGAAGAGTGGATAAGCTGCAAGATCTTTACATTATTAAATTAAGCGTTTGCACGAAATCTCAGAAAGGTTGCGTCCAGAAAGATTTCAGAACACCAAGAGAAAGAAAAGGCAATACACAACTTTAATTTCATACAACAGCTAGACTAACTGTTAGGGGACAGGTTTACCTTGCTATGTTGAGAACGCTCATCAGAGGCAAAGACAAATACTTTGACGGAGGAAACAAAGGGATTAACGAATCAGAACTAGGAGCTAATAGCGGCTCAAGCCAATGCCGCCCCCACATTCTAGCAACATCAAGAGGAAGCCACCTAATAAAGCATGCCAAAAGTTATGATTAGGTCGACGATTTCATCTCAAAACTGCAAGGAGACTCAAGACGCAATATCTACCCATTGCAATTTAAAGTCATCCGGCTAGCACCTCTTGCAAGAAGTATCTGAAAAGAAAAATGGTTACTTCAGTTTCCAGTGAAAAAAGAGATGTAAATGAATGCTTCATAGCTATTAGAACTCTTGCCTGACAGCACTTAAGATTCCCTCCACAAGCAGCATAGTGCAGAGGTGTACTGCCCGCTCCTAAGTAGATATACCAATTTGTCAAAGAACAAGTGATCGATCCTCATAACTGACCAGAGCATAAAGAAGACAACATGTACCTATCAAATCCATGGATGTCCCATAGTGAAATGTCACAGCCGATACATTTGCATGAAGGTCAAGCAAAAGTTGTACACAATCAAAATACCCATTTAACGCTGCCATATGAAGAGCTGTGATACCCCCATCAGCCGCCTTATTTACAAACTTGGACAGCGCACTGCACTGAGAATGAACAAGATAAATAGCACGAATAGATTCTCATCTTCTTGCGGCAAGCGTCACTCAATAATAGAAAACCCGACTGCTGCACTATCTATACCCTCACCATAGGTTCTCCCAACAAGAACTTAAGAAGTCAATTTTACTGTAGCATGTACTGAAGACCAAGTTCTAGACCTTCCCAAAGCTCGAGGTTCAGCATTTAATGGATAGGGCCCACTAGGACCAACTTGAAAACAGAAGTGCATTAATTTGAGCAGGGTCAAGGCCAGTAAGAGTAACTAACAACATACCTCTGGTCACATTTGCCTTTCCCATTTGCTCCATCGCCTCTGTCCACATACAGCTGCCTGGCTATTGCTTCATAAGGAGAACTTGGGACAAAGTCAGCCACAACTAATCTTATACACCTGACATGCCCATTCACAGCTGCAAAATGAAGAGCCGTCCTCCCACTAAGATAATCCGCTCTTGTAACCTGAAATTGCAGTAGAGACATGTTGTTGATGATGCTGAACTACAGTATTTAACTCGGCAATCATAGCACCGAACAAATAGAACAGCAATTTGCCATCCAAGTCACGTAGGCCTCTCCATTTTTGGAAATTTATAAATGAAATCCAGAAACCCCAGCTTGCAACACCTATGGACCGGGGCGCGATAATTTGAAGACAGAAAAAATTTCTCGTAGAAAGGTGCATATCGGCAAAATTTGAAAAGAGATTAATTCGAAGGAAACCCACGTTGCATCTGAAAAGCAGAAGTGTCTGAACAACTTCCCAATGCCCGTATCGACACGCCTGCATAAGCGCCGTCTGTGCACACAAACAAGGAGGAACGAAATCAGAAAAAATCAAGTCGTATCAAATCAATTGCTGATGCATCGACAACTTCTGAACAATTGCCTCTTTATGTTATGCCGAGATGCGTGGCATACACAGATGTTTTTTTAGAAAAAAAAGGCTGAAAACAAGCGAATTCGTTTCCTAATAATCTGAAAAATAAATGAATTTGCAGGTATATGCGTGCGCGATGGCACCTAAGTTCAAGCAAAGCGGCCCGCTACAATTAATCAAAACCCATCCCAGCTTCAGTGTTCAAGATTGGAGAAACTTAAGTCCCACACAATCCAAACAAGCGCCATCATCTAAATGCAGTTCCAATTATCAAGGGCAAGAAAAGGGCCGAACTACATTCTATAAAAAGAAAAGAATCGGAGTTCATATGATCCTCGAATAGTCGATACTCGGCAGCTACGTAAAGAAGGAAAATTTCAAAAAACAAAAAAAAAGAGAATGGAGAAACGAAGCAAAACAGTACCTGCCCACAGTAGTTTCTGGAATTCACATCAGCTCCATTATCGAGCAGCAGCGCCACGATCTTTCACCACAAGACACCAAACACAGAATCACCATTATCAAACGACGGAAGAATCCATCGATTACGAAAAGAACAGAGGAATCAGAAGGGGGGGAGCAAGATTACAAGAAAGAGGAGCGAACCTCGTTGTGGCCCTTAGCGGCGGCGAAATGGAGCGGGGAATTGAGGCCGCCGAAGGTGGAGTAGCGGGCGAGGCAAGGGTTGCAGTCGAGGAGCATCTTCGCCTCGACCAAGTCGCCGTCCCTCGCCGCCGAGACCAGCCGCTCGCCGGAGGCCGAGCAGCCGAACGAATTCCCCATCCCCCCTCCCTCCCTCTTCCCTCTCTCCTCTCCACCTCCACCTCCACCTCCACCTCCACCTCAATCTCTCTCTCTCTCTCTCTCTACCTCCGAATCGATCGCGCTCTTTTATATATTAATATTAGGCCAACGATCCGCGGAACGAATTCAAAACCCAAAAAAAGAAAGAGAAGAAAAGAGAAAGAGGAGGAGGATCGGCGGCGGCGGCGGCGGAGGGGCGGGCAGCTCCGGCCGGACCGGGCGGCTCTCCGGCGGCCGAGGAACACGGGCGAATTCCGGTGATGTTCGTGAAGAAGAGGAAAGAATGATTCGAGAGCTTCGCTTCGCTTCTTCCTTTTGCTTTCGGAGCGGGGAGGTGGGAATGAAGATGAAGATGAAGATGGTGGGGGGCGAGGATGGCGTGCAAAGGTGCGAACTTTACCCCCCCTTCTTTTTTCTCTCTCTCTTTCTTTCTTTCTTTCTTTTTCTCTTTCTCTTTCTAATGTATTCTCTCTCCTATCCTCTCCGCTCCTCTGTGTGTCTTTTGTCTTGTCTTCTACGCGTGACGTTGATTGGATTTTTGGTGTGACATGAAAAACGATGGTGCGCTTTTTTATTTATTTAATAATTTACATTAAATGCCCTGAAATTAATGGCCGAAGTACAATTAAATTCTATAATTATTAAAAAGTAGAGTCGAATCTTAAAACTCGTTAATTAGTGCAATCAAATCATGTTATTAATCCTGCCCAACTGGATAAACGAAAAATGCTAATAAGTTTTAGAATTTGATTGCATCAACTTAACAAGTTTTAAAATTTGGTTGCGCTTTTTAAAAAATTTTAGAATTCAATTATATTTTGGACTTCCAGTGCCCTTATCTTCTTCTATTTTTTCCTTTTAACTCAAATATTTTTATCCGTACGAATTGAAAAAGAGAATTGAAATTTGGTAGCTTCTTACTTGAAATTTTATCCGTAGTCCCATTTCGTCGAGCGACTCGCATGTAAAATTCCCCTCCAAAATAGTCTAACACCTCTCGTGATTACTCACGAAGCTCCCTTTGAGATTTGGTCCATGTGAAATGGGGTCGTCGGAAGCTATATCAACTACATTCGAAAAATGCTTAGTTCTTTTAGAATGTTAGGCATAAATTAAGTGATTGACCTCCTGTTTTGTTCAAGTGGAGGCCACCATGAGTAGTGGAAAAAGGTGACGAGTGTGGAAAATTTCGGACTTATTAATCATTGATTCGATATTTATGATTGACTCCACCACAAAAGCAATTAAGCATAATTTTTTTTCTTTCTTTTGGCTCCAAATAATTAGGAAGTGCTAAGTTGAAGAAAATACTCTTCATAAGATTTGGGCGAGCAATTTTCTTGGAGGATTTATTAGAAAATTATTTTTATTTTTATTTTTTTGGAATTTCCCACCTGCATCTTTGCAAATGGGGCATATACTATTAGTATTATCTCATTTGGACAGTACTTTAAATGCAAAGAATGTAAAGAGGACAATCTTTTTCCGGTAGACCCAACCTCCAAAACAAAGGGGAATATCAAAATCAAAATCAAAATCAAAATCAAAGGTTGGTGTCGGATCAACCTATTTTTGTCCGGTCTCGGAGGACTACACTCGCCTCAACCTTCGAGAGTGGGTCCCACATTTGACCAATCGCGACGAGCCTCGGAAAAAATAAAAATCAGCCTTCCACATAATTTTCCTCTAAAAAATGTGGCGAATTAAACCGTGACTAGCGGCGTGATGAAAATACTCTTCATAAGATTTGGGCGAGCAATTTTCTTGGAGGATTTAGTAGAAAATTATTTTTTTTTGGAATTTCCCACCTGCATCTTTGCAAATGGGGCATATACTATTAGTATTATCTCATTTGGACAATACTTTAAATGCAAAGAATGTAAAGAGGACAATCTTTTTCAGGTAGACCCAACCCCGTCCGCAACAAATGGGAAATCAAAATCAAAATCAAAATCAATGGTCGGTGTCGGATCAACCGTATTTTTGTCCGGTCCCAGAGGACCACACTCACCTCAAGCTTCGAAAGTGGGTCTCACATTTGACCAATCGCGACGGGCCTCGGAAAAAAAAAATACAGGATTAACAGCGTGATGATTGATAAGCTGATCGAGATTGGGTTTGAGATATCAAAATTAGAGATTCTAGTCCCGGAGCATTTGCGTGACTCACCATGACCCCGATCGGGAAGGACGGAGTCCGGGATCCCGAAATGGAGAGATTTCGCATAGCAAACATAACAAAAAAAAAAAAAAAACACACGCACAAGTATGTTCAGGAACGGAGGAAATAGCCAAAGCATGTTTCACAAATCAATGCACGCAATACGTGGTTTTTCAATTACATATAATTGATTGCTTGTGATAACATTATCACTCGTTTCAAATATAATCAATAACGGAAACATTCGATCCATATTTGGACGTGATCGCTTCCGTTAGATTTTGTGGTACCACTGTCAATTATTACAAAAACGTAAACTCGTTTAAATGAATACGTGATTAAAGAGTTAAACGAGTTTATGTCAAACTATGGAGTGATAATTTACCTCAAACTATTGCTATTTGCATGGAAAGCAGATAATTAATCTATTCAATGGACTTCTCAATAGACACAATTGCACGCCAATAATGAAAGGAATGCATGTGGCACACTGAGATGTTGTCATCCATCAGATCCCGCTTCTTTAAAAAAATACAATGTCAACATGATCAGAGCGTCTTCTATATTGACCTCTTCCCCAAATATCTCCCACATTCCTCCCTTTAGTTCAGTGGTTTGAATGGACAACTCGTTAAACAAATATATGTGATGACATCTTCAGGTTACTATGCACGGTCTGTGTCGATTGCCGTCTCTTCGAAGCATATAACTGTGCCAAAACAGAGGTCGATGTTACGCAATACCTTTGGTCATACCTGCATCGCGTCGACATGTTCACATCCTACCCACGTCGCGGTCGTTTTCATTCGTAAGTTGCTGGAACCACTTCATTTCTTCAAAGGAAGACGCTCCACCTTCGTATCAGTCCAAGATCCGTTTCTGCAGAAGCATACATGCATGAGAGAATGCACTATCTAAATGGTTTAAAACCAATCACTCCCAGATACCTCTCGCAGAACCCGCATCGAGCCCATCTGCAAAGACATCATCAAGCCCATATGATTCATACACAATAATTAATAATTATTTATGCCTACAGCGCCAAGCAACAGGATGAATCTCCACAATATTCATGCATGGCCTTGTATGCTACGAGAAACGTCTTATGCATTCGAGAGGGTCGAAAAACCAAGAAAAGTTTGGACGACATCGGTGGATCGACTCTTTTGGAAGGCGACCTCCCCAACACATCGGTATCAAAGCAGAAGGCTTCCTGATAAAACAACAGACGGGATGATTCCAGTAGGTGACTGCATGATTCAAGAAATCTTCCGAGTTCTCAAGGACATGACTTCAGAATTTGTTGTCAATTAATCATAGGCCACAGGTGCTTTCGTAATCTGCAGGTGCATGGTTTGGTTGTTTATCAGTTGTTCGGACGTAGCTTGAGAGCTGAAACTGAAAGTGACTAAAACAATAGGAATTCCATGTTAGATGTGAGCAGGAGCTGTCGAGATAGGATCAGCTCTCAACTTCGGCGTCAAATTCAACCTACCTTATGCCAAACTTCAACTTCTTCACCAGAAAGCACATTAAAAACACGTCCTCTTCCAACTTCTCCTCCACTCTATATAAGGCAAACTACAAATGCCGTGTAAGATTAGCGTCATTATCTATGATGGAAAATTGCACCCTGAACATGACAGACCCCTAGTTATGAACCTGTGCAGGTGTTCAAAGAACCCGAAATTTTGAGGGTGGTAAAATAAACAAAATAGAAGATGACGCCTTGAATTGGTCTTCTTCGAACCTAAGTTTGTATCTTCCTAATATTTGGTCCTGGCTCCAAAATCACCGTTCATCTCCTTTGTTTGGTCCCTGTGCCCAATCGAACCAAAACAATCGGACCATAGGAGAGCTCAACTTTGTCTTAGAAAATTTTCCTGTTAGATGAAACCAATTGCCTTATGCTCGAAACTCTATGATGAATACTTTCTATTTTAAACTACCTTTAGTTGGTTACTTTAGCCTGAGATAGTGGTTTACAAATGCCAAACTAACTCTATCCGCTAGGTATGTACCCAAATAACCATCAAGAAATATAGTCCTACTTTGCCGACCACTTTGTCATGCAAAAGAGAAGGAGGAAGGCAACTGGCAAAATGCTAAGATGCAAGAGCACACAAATACAAGATCAACCATAGCGCATAAAGAACACAAATATGGAAACCGATGCTCCAATTGCAAACTTTCCAAAGAACATCAGGACTCTTCTCTTTTCTTGCGCAATAGATACATTCGGAGTCCAATTTGGTCTTCCATTTCAATAGTTAAGATCAAGCAAAGATCTTGTAGCTCAATGCAATTAACTTCCATCATCGGACAAATTTTTATACGATGAAATTATCAAAATAATTTCACCTAAAACATTGTTTTGCATTCAACAATAATTGAAATGACAAAGATCCTCAGCTTCGACTTACATGTTCATTGAAATCATCTCACTGATTTCTATTCCACAAGCCAGTAAGCAGACTTCTTTCCCAGAAGATGAGAGCACCTTACATTTCCGATAAAATGATGCTCACTTACTTCTCTAGATGTGGAGAAGCCAAGAGAACCATTTACCAACTCGAAGGCATTGTGGCCAGCATATGCCTCGTTTAAGAACCTGTGGCTGTCTTATGACTTAGACTGCTTGTCTTCAATTTGCCTGTTTGCACATAAATTCTAATTCCATAGTCTGAACCATGCCATGAGGTAGTCAGCATTTAATACAACCTCAATACACCAGGGAGCAGTCTGATTCGTGTTCAAATTCAGTGTTGCATGAGAAAAGTTTTAGGCTCCAGCCACAAACAACTTCTCTTAATATGCTAAAACGAGTCAATTGATTACTTCTTCTTCATCAACAATTGCCTCACCATCATCATTGTCATCTGTAAAGTCAGCTTCTGAAGCTGCATCCGAGTCTGGTTGTTCATCCCCCTCCTCATCAAGTACAAAATTTTCCTGAACATCAAATTTCGTCATCTTATCCTCTATATGGTCTCTTCTAAATCGCCTCGTTTCATCATGATCGTCTCTACTATAACTAACAAGCTCCTTATCCACTTTTGCCTTTCTTGGACTCAACAAGACCAAATCAGCCAATTTCCTTCTCGCCAAATACAAGTCATTGGGTTCTATCAGCTCTCCCTTCTTATAAGCCTCCCTAAGAAACACAGTGTGAAGCTTCCCGTGATTACCCCTTGTCGAAATATAGAAGATCCCTTGATGTTGAAGGAGGAAGTCCTTCAACTTCTTTGGCAAATCCATTGCCATCCTAAAATGTGCTATTCTCTCCAGCGTGATCTTCTTCTCAACGGTCATTGAAAGCAATTCATGAATCACTGCCACGGCCCTCTTCTCCATACGTTTCTGAGCCTCTAGCGACCTCAAATCATACCTCGAAACATCCTCATAAGGCGACCAATACGGGACTCGTTGCCACTTCCACACTGCAATCCTATAATACTTCCCTATCTTAAATCCCGGCGGAAAATTGATGATGAACGAGAAACGCACATCTTCAGCATCGATTCCCTTCTCTCTATACTCCCTCTCTCTAGCCATCTCAATTGCACAAACAATTAAACTAGGGTCTCTCTCTACAATCTCAATGTACTTATTCCTAGTCTCTTTAGCATCAAACAATCTAAAAAATCGCGGGTGCTTCAAAATTACCGAGTACTCGAAATCCTCAGGCAACCCGAATTCAGCCCGTGCAATCCGCACATGCTCCAGCCTCAGACGTCCCGTGTTAGACATCATCAGGAGCTTCCTGAGCCGAACCACGGCATCCGGGATTTGGGCATCGAGAGCCTCCTTCTCCTGCTGGATTTGCAAAATGGCCTTTCGGGTCAGTCTGCAATACAGGATCCTCTGCACCGGGTGCTCATAAACCTCGAAAACGTGAGGGAACTTGAGGAGGAAAGCCCCGGCCTCGTGCTGCTTGAACCCAAACCTGCGAGAGAGGACATCAAGGCGCGAAATCGGGACGTTCTGGTTGTGCTGGGAGAGGATCAAGTCTTGGAATTTGAGGATCTTGCGCGTTTTCTTCTCGATTTCCATGTAGTTGTCGTACCCATGGTCGCGGACCCTCAGCAGGTTTTTCGGGATGGAGGTGGATTGAGAAAAGTGTCTGGCGAAAATGGAGCTGTGGAGGGTGAATCCTATCGAATTGGAGGGCTTGCGCGAGTCTGATTTGAGGAAATTGGTTGCGAAAGAGGAGAAGACGACGATCTTCCTCATCTAGAGAAGCTTTCGGGGGGAAATCAGGGTTCAGGGTTTTTGCTCGCCGGACGTCAATTTGATGCCCGGATCCTTGGATGGAGCACCAGAGGCACGAGCGATGACGAACACGGAGGAATCCCAGGTGCCGACGCCACCAACCGCCGCCGCGGCAGCTCCCCCGCGCATCACCACCGCCACGTCGCCAAGCCCAGCTCCGGTGTTGCCGACCTCGAGTGACGACGACCCAAGGACTGATGTCGCCCAAGGCCGGCGATGCCGCTGGCGGCAGCCGCGAGCGACGCGACCTTGAGGAGAGAGAGAGAGAGAGATGGGATGGAGATCGGAGACCGGGACGACGGCGACAGCCGGTGGCGCGAGACTCGACGGCGAGGGGAGGGGAGATGACGTCGACGGCGGCGCGACGGCGAGGTGGCAGAAGCCGACGGTGGCTGAAGGTGGAGGGGAGAGAAAGAAGAGGGCAGAGTGAGGGTTTTTCCAGGGTCTGGACATCATGTGTAAATTCCTCAAAGAGCGAGGGCAATTGGGTCATTTGAGCAGAAGACCTCACTAATTTATTAGAAGAAAAAAGGAGAACTACACTAACAACCCCTAATCTACAACCTAATATGAAATTTGATCCCTAAACTTTTAATTTGTTCAATATCATCTCTAAACTTTCAGTACATGTTCAATTTAATCACTGAACTGGATGAAAATGTTTAATGTAGTCCTTCCATTTAATACAAGATCATGGACTACATTAAACATGTGCAAAAAGTCTAGAAAAATATTGAACTAATTAAAAGTTCATAGACCATATTGAATATTAGACTAAATTTCAGGGATGATTTTGAACAAATTAAAAGTTCATGGATCACATTGCATATTGGGACAAAAGTTCAGGGATTGTTTGTGTCATTATCTCAAGGAAAAATTACACAAATAGTCGATAAACATTGGATCTAAACCTTGATCCAATATGTAATGCCGTACCTAAAATTTTAATTTGTTCAATATGTTCCATATAGAACATTGAATATTTTCATAAGTTCAAAGACTAGATTGAACATGTCTCAAAAGTTCAAGAATCACATCGAACAAATTAAAAGTTCAGGTACGACATTACATATTAAGTTAAAATTCAAAGATCACATTAAACAATAAAAAATTTAGCGACGACATGGCTCATTTGGCCGACAAAAGTTATATATCAAATTTATGGAATGGTTCTTTAGTGTTGTCCCTATCATCTGAGCTATCTGATCTGTATCCATAAAAAATCATTTGTGTAATTATCCCTTTGTTGAACGTATTCCCATAAAGGATTGACTTGAATGAAGAGAATTCATGTCCTATCTTGAAAGAGAGATGGATTCATTTGCTTGAAATCAACAGAATAGGTACGTGAAGCCAAATAAAGTCATTTAGCTGAGTTGTAACTTAAAGCCAGCATTAGTTTTTCCAGGATCTCCTTCACTAAATGTGCACATGATTCCAGCTCTGAAAACAAGCTCTGCAGCGAATGAAGCGCAAACATGGGCAGGATGCCAAAGTTTTTGGTGCTTATGAGACCTCTAGAAGAAGTGCCAGTTTCAGTCAGAACTCAGAAGCTAAGGCTGCGAATGATAATCATTCTGTTTCAAAAATCAATTTCTGACCAGAAATTGATTTTTCTATTTCTGTTTCTGGAGGAGTTTCTAAGCTAAAAAACATGTTTGATAACGACAAAATTTCTATTTCGAAACGAAATTTGTTTGATAACGGCACAAAATTTCTCCTTCTCATGTGGCCTGAGTGGACGGCGGCGCGGACAATCGCTTCATTTCTTTTAGAAATAGAATAAAAAATTAGAAAATCTGGAAAATTCCTAAAAATCTAAAAAAATTCAGAAAATCCATAAAATTTTCCGAAAATAAAAAAGTCGATTTCGGGAAAATAGGAAATTTGTTCATTTTTTCCAAAAAATCAAAAATTTCAAAACTTCATGAATGGCTTAGAATACATGTGGCCACCCACTTTGAGTGAAATTTAAATTTTTGAAGTGCCCAAAAAATCAAAAAATAAAAATTTCAAAACTTCAGAATGGCTTAGAATACTTGCCACCCACTTTGAGTGAAATTTAAATTTTTTTTTTTTTTTTTTTTGGCACCTAAAAAATTTAAATTTCACTTAAAATGGGTGGCCACAAGTATTCTAAGTCATTCGTGAAGTTTTAAATTTTTGGTTTTTTTTGGGCACCTCAAAAATTTAAATTTTACGCAAAGTGGGTGGACAGTGTATTCTAAGCCATTCGTGAAGTTTTGAAATTTTTATTTTTAAATTTTTTTGGGCATCTCAAAATATTTAAATTTTACGCAAGTGGGTGGCCACGATATTCTAAGTCATTCGTGAAGTTTTGAAATTTTTGATTTTTGGATTTTTTGGGCACCTCAAAAATTTAAATTTCACACAAAGTGGGTGGCCACATATATTCTAAGCCATTATGTAAAGTTTTGAAATTTTTGATTTTATTTTTATTTTTTTGGGCACTTCAAAAATTTAAATTTCATTCAAAGTGAGTACAAAGTATTCTAAGCCATTCGTGAAGTTTTGAAATTTTTTATTTTTTTGGAAAAATGAACAAATTTCCTATTTTCCCGAAATCGACTTTTTTTATTTTCTAGAAATTTTTATGAATTTTTCTGAATTTTTCAATTTTTAAGGATTTTTGGAATTTTTTTTTTTGGCGGAGGCGGCTGCGCCGATGGTGGCGGGAGGTGGCCGATGGTGGCGGGAGGTGGCCGGTGGCTCACCTGGCGGTGGTGGGAGGCACCAGGTGGCAGAGAGAGGGTGGCGGCGGCGCGGCTGAAGGGTAGCGGCCGTCGCGGTGGCGGCGACCGCGATGGGCGGCGGTGAGCGACCGACTAGTAGTGAGGGAAAGTGATGAGAAGAACAAAAAATTTTGTTTCTCATTTCTGCCAGTAAAGAGAAGCTAAAAATTTTAACTTCGATTTCTCTTTCAAATCTATTTGAACAAAATTTGTTCCGTAAATAGAAATTAAAATTCGTACTTAAACAGATTGCTCCAAACCTAGGTAAAGAATTGTTATCATTCAGCCTAATACATTGGAAACTGATACGGGCCTGTGAATGAATTTTGTTAAGGATGGAAGGCCCGTGAAAGCATGGGCTTGCCACAGATGCTTCACTCCATTGTTTGTCTCCCCTTGAAACATGGTCTCCACTTTCATATCGAACCCCAAAGAACAGATCTTTGGCAAACTGCACTGTACTGTACTTGATCTTGGAGTTAAATGAGAACTCAGGCCGGCTCTTATTTCACAAGGACAGCAATAAATTGGCTTGCATGATTACGAGTTCTATGAACGTACATGTGTTCATGTTGACTGTGCGAATGCTGTGTTTGGCATACATAATCCCAGAACACGATCTGCATTAATTCAAAATAAGCCGCCAAGCATAAGGAAATTAGATCCATGACAAAATTTCAACTTCTATAGAGAACAGAATAATTTCTCTCAAGATCACAATTTGAGAGCTAAGTCCGTCCTGGTGGTTATCTAAGTCAATGCCCGAACCCCCGGATAGGCGAAAGATCCAGTACCTTCAATTACATCACCATGTCCGGGAAGGGCGAGCGGTTCGTTCTTGACTCGAAACCACCTTGTTTTTTCTTTTTGGTACCTATGCCTTTCCATCCATTTCAGTCTCTCTATACTTTATGTTATCTTATTCCATACAAAAAGTAGATCAATCTAAATAACAAGAAAGAGCAGGAAAAAAAATATGAACTAGGACATTCGCAATGAGGTTTTGATCCTCTGGATTGTGCGCGAGAGGAGGTTGTGCACGGTCTCGACTGACTCTGCTGTGAGCTTCGCAGCAGGAGTGCTGCTCACGAGGATCTGAAACCCGATTGTCATTAGGCACCCGCTGCCATCAGCAGTTCCAACGAGACTTCCATCGGGGTTCCTTAGTCCATCAATGTGTGACGGACTGTCTGGGAGCAAGGCAAATCCAGACGGTAGGAGCGCGACGCTGTTCGGGTCTCCGCCGCTCACCACCGATTCAATCACTGTTATGTCCACTGGAGCATAGGCTATGAGGGAGCCCGACGCATCTGTCCATGTCTCTTGCAGAATCACCATGCTTGTGTCGCTCGCGCTGAGTGCCTGCAAGTCATGGGTCGGCATATTTGTTGAAGCAAAATCAAAAGCAGCTGGAGCTACAAGGTTCAGCATTAATCGACAAGCGCTTACATTAGCACGGAGAAGAGAGGCGCAATTGTCGCGCCTCTGACCCTTAGCCACATGGACTATCTCCTGCATTGGGCCACCGTGGGATAATATATCCCACTCGCTCCTCAACTGCTCGTTGCGCACAAAATTGAACACCGTCTCGTGCGCTATGGGCATCCAAATGGAAGTTGCTGCACTCAGTACGATCCCGGGCGGCTCGCCGGGTCTACCAGCGTTTTTTCTAGTCGTTACTCGCACATCGCCACTCATGTTCCCAAGGTGAAGGACTTCCCAGTTGTGCAGCGGCGAAGCACAGACCCCCGAACAGAAATTATCTGTCATGCGCTGCGCCAGTTTCAGCATATTTCTCCTTCCACTCGGATTCATTCCTGTTCCAAAAATTTTTAGTCTCAAATAATGTAACCTATACGAATAAAGCTTGCGATGAATATAGGAAGTATGACCTGAACTATCTTCATTAGGGTAGGTAGATGACATGAATGTTAGCAAGCACTCGCAGTGCCTCTGTAGCGAGGCAATCCACCTCTGAGAACTGAATCCCATGCCGGAACTAAGGTAGGAATGGTAAAGAGGGTGAACTGCAGTTCCGTCATATTCTGAATGTTCGATCCAAGTAACCTGAAATTCACCATACTCATGTTAGATATTTTGCGACTCTAGCAACAAAAGCCCACTTCATACTTCATGAGATACTTATAAGTCTTGATGTACTTTCAAGATTGCATCATTTGCACTACGTTCACGCTCCATTAATCAATAAAATCATCCATCACCTGGGGCTTCTTTATCTCACTTAAGTTTGATGAAAAGTCAAAACTTGTACGAGTTTTTATCCCTCCTTCCGCAGAACAAGTAAAGTTACTGGTGCAGAATAATTACCAAAATGCAGATTAGACACTGCTAACGCACTTCATAATTTAATCTCACGGCATGTTCCTGTCTGGAACAATATCACTTAAAATGATTCAGTTGCAGAAGGCCTCGCGAGTGGTGAGCAAGTTGCTCATACACATGGAGAATAAATTTATTCGGCAACTTACTGTCTAAGGAGATTCAAACAAATTAAATATAAGTCTGGATCCAGGTCATATAGTCTCGCTGTCAATAAAAAGACACGGGACAAATTTAAAAATGAGAAGAGAAACAGGAATAGAAGCATCAAATACATACTTTATGCAACAAAGATTGAGAGTCTCGAGGCCGAGACTAAATAAAGCATAAGATGCAGCTTGGCCTATCCATAA